TGACACAAAAATTATCAACTATAGGCCACAGTAAGACCTTCAACAATGAGTAAAACCCATACCGCATAGTCAGCTTTAAAAGGCCCCGAAATGACATAATGTAAAACAATTCAAACGAGAAAACTAACGGCCTGATTTATGTACAAAATAATGAACGAAAAACAAATATGATATATAGCAACAAACGTCAACCACTGCATTACAGGCTGCTGACTTGGGACAGGCACATACAGAATGTGGCGGGGTTAAACTAGTTTGTTGGCGCCAATCCTCCCACTATCCTGAGACAATGGTGCAACGGCACAAAACCAGAATATACTATACAAAACAATAAACGATAACAAATATGAGAAACAACAACAAACGACAACCACTGAATTACAGGCTCCTGACTTGGGACAGGCACATATATAATGTGGCGGGGTTAAACCAGTTTGAAGGTGCGCCAGCTCTCCCCCTAACCTGTGACAGTACAACATAAGAACAAACTATAAAAATCAGTTGAAAAGGGCGTAACTCACCAGATCAATACAACGCATAAATACATCTAACAAAAACACAGAGTGGACGTGGCAGGGTACTTATACATCCCCACAACAAAAAGGCACTTAGTACAGATCTGAGAGTACTCGCAGTTACTGACAGCTAGTTCAAAGCCAATTACAACTATTAAAAAAATCATGCATCTAAGAATAAGATATCAATCAGTACACATATCAAATGTTTTCATTCATTTTTGTCGAGCCTGAGAAATTTATTTCGCAAAAGCGAGTTATAGCGATCCAAGATTCCGTCGTCGGTGTCGGCGTGAAAATTTAGGTTCATTCTTCGGTTAAAGTTTTTTAACATCAATTACTTTGTCATACCTACATGGAATGTTATGAATTTTGGACAGAAGCTTGTTTATGACTATAATACAGTATCTAGAGCAAAATTTTTAAAATATTTATTTTCATTTTTCATTATTTTATTATCCAAAGGTCCGAAATATCGTGAGCCTAAATCCATCAATTGGAAATACAACTTCAAAATACTGATGGATTCAGTCGAGGATTATGCCAGGCAATGGGCTAAACGCGAGAAAGAAGACGTATATACTCTTTCCGAATGGATTAAGGCTGTGAGGTCGTTGATACAAATCCGAATTAAGAAACTAAATGGGTATATCAATACCCACGATACGTCAATTTTTAAAGACCCAAATGTTGCAAAACACTTGTCCTACCTCCATGACAAATATGTTGTTGTCCCCGCACATAAAGCCCCAAACAACATCGTTTTTGTGTGTAAATATCATTACATAAACTGCTTGATAAATGAATTAGGTATTGACAATTCATTTGGAAACTCAACATATACCCTCACGACACTTATCAAAGAGGAAATCCTGGATAATCATAAGTCTGTTCTATGTTCCTTTGGAATTTCAACCAAAGATGAAGAACTGATTCTTCCATCACTCTATTGGATACCTAAACTACATAAGTGTCCTTACAAACAACGGTATATTGCAGGGTCTTCCAAGTGCTCCACGAAACCTCTTTCTAAATTATTAACATCTATTTTATCAGCATATCAGCAATCAAAGCCGGGCTCCAAAGTTATTGTGAAACTGCCTATTCTAGAGGTGGCGTGTATCAGATGTGGATACTAAAAAATTCCAAAGATCTTTTAGAGTACATTCAATCTAAGACTCTCTCATCTTGCAATAGTATTAAAACATTTGACTTTTCTACACTTTGCACTAGTATTCCCCATTCCAAACTAAAAGACAAATTGAAAGAGTTGGTATTACTTTGTTTCATTAAAAAGAATGGCGAACGTAGAAACAAGTATCTTGTCTTGGGGAGGGATAAATCCTGCTTTGTAAAGAATCACTCTGATTCAAACAAAAAATTCTCTGAAACTGACATTATCAAGATGCTTGATTTCCTGATTGACAACATATTTGTTACGTTTGGAGGACGTGTTTTTCAACAGACTGTCGGAATTCCAATGGGAACAAATTGTGCCCCTCTTCTTGCCGACTTGTTTCTTATGAGGCTGACTTCATATAGGAACTTCTTAGGAAGAAAGATAAGAAGTTAGCAATATCCTTTAACTTTACGTTCCGCTATATAGATGATGTTCTCTCACTAAATAATACAAAATTTGGTGACTATGTTGAACGAATCTATCCCATCGACTAGAGATAAAGGATACTACAGATACAGTTAAGTCTGCCTCATATCTTGACTTACATCTAGAAATTGACAATAAGGGTCGGTTGAAAACAAAATTTTACGACAAAAGAAATGATTTCAGCTTCCTAATTGAGAACTTTCCATTTCTATGTAGCAACATTCCAGCAGCGCCTACATACGGAGTATATTTCTCCCAATTGATACGATATTCCCGGGCTTGTATTTACTATCATGATTTCCTTGATAGAGGATTGCTGCTCACAAGGAAGCTATTAAACCAAGAGTTCCAAATGGTGAAGTTGAAGTCATCCCTTCGTAAATTTTACGGACGCCATCACGAGTTGGTTCCTTATGTCGTAACTACAATACCCGTCCTTTTTCACGAATGTTACCTACCGAATTAGACTATTTACCGGATTTGTAATAAGATAAGCAACACGACGGGTGCCACATGTGGAGCAGGATCTGCTTACCCTTCCGGACCACCTGAGATCACCCCCAGTTTTTGGTGGGGTTCGTGTTGCTTAGTCTTTATTTTTCTATGTTGTGTCATCTGTACTATTATTTGTCTGTTTGTCTTCTATTTTTGGCCATGGCGTTGTCAGTTTGTTTTCGATCTTTGAGTTTGACTGTCCCTCTTTTACTGATAAATGAACTTTGTCAAACCTTCATTGAATTTTATGAAATTTTAACAGAAGCTTGTTTATGACCAAAAGACAGTATCAAGAGCGAAATTAAGAAAATATTTATTCATATTTACCGGTATATTACTTATAAATTGACTTTTTTACAGTTAACATTCAGATTTAGTCCGAGGTTATAGTTTCTTTTAGAAATCAATAACTTTGCCAAACCTACATGGAATTTTATGGAATTTGGATAGAAGCTTGTTTATGGCCAAAATACAGTATCCAGAGCAAAATTTTTTCCGTATTTTACTGATAAATGGACTTCGTGTTTTTACAGTTAACATTCAGATTTAGTCCGAGGTTATAGTTTTTTTCTGTCATCAATATCTTTGTCAAACCTACATAGAAATTTATGGAATTTGATCAGAAGCTTGTTTATGACCAAAAGACAGTATGTAGAGCAAACTTTTGAAAATATTTACTTTCATTGTTCCGTATTTTTCAGATAAATGGACTTAGTTTTTTTACTGTTAACAAGTAGATAGTTTGGGTTTAAAGTTTGTTTTACATCAATCTCTTTGTCAAACCTTTGGCAGAAGCTTTTTAATGATTTAGAGAATCTTTAAAATTTGTTTTCTTCATTTTTTAGTATTTTTCTGATAGATGGACTTTTTTACAGTTGACTTTTACAGACAGACTGGGATTAAATGTTTTTGACATGATAAATTTGTAAACCTTCATGGATTGTTTTGAAACTTGGACAGAAGTTAATCAGTAGCATCTAAAGAAAAAGTTTGACTTTTTTTTTTAATTCTGTATTTTACTGATAAATGGACTCACTTTTTATGTCAACATTACACTTTTACACTGACGGCAGCTCGAAACCCCTTCCATTTGTTTTATTTATAAGTTAAATAAGAATGCATTTGATGAATTCGATTATAAATTGAATTCAGATCTTCAAATATACGTCGATTATGCAGCAAGAAAACGACAAAAATAACCAAAGGACATCTAGAGGGCAGTCTTCAACAAACGACAGGTGCATTTTCATTATACCAAACTTTTAAATGTCTTTTCAATAAACCAAGCTATAAATCGTCTATTCATTAAACCAAGCTATCAAAGGGGCATTAGCTACGAGATATAAAAAAAATTAAAATATGATTTTTTTTTTCAATCACTAATGAAATTGAAATAGCGAAATACTAAATCGCTTTTAGCAGCCAGTTTGGTTTAATTTTGTCAAAATAAGCTAAGAAACATCGCTGATGAATTATTCACTTGCAAGTGGATAATTCGACCTTATTGAATCCGTATTCATGTGTCCTTCAATTTAACCCCTTCACTAGAGAAGGGTTACGCATAAACTAGGTGTTCAGCTATTAAAAAGAAAAGAATGTCAACAATGACAATGAAGCAAGGGTAAACCATTTGGTTGACTGGTTCGATCCACAAATACTCATTCTTATACGGGTAACAATGATGATTAACATAATATGTTTAACCTATAATATGAAATTAAACAGACCTAGAAAAATCCAAGTGTTCGTGTTTGCTATCTATCAATATCTATATTTATGTTTATATAGGGTTATATGACCGTCGACAGTCTTCGGAGGTCATCTCGATGGATTATTAAATGGCCAATAGACTAAAATAAACACGAAATGTATCGAGTCAATGATGCGTAAATTGTTTATTTTACACTTTTTATAATTTGGATATACGTTTTAGTATGTTATAGATCAAATATGAGAATTTGAGTCAAATCAGTGAATATAAATTTGACAGCTAATGCCCCTTTAATAATCTATTCATTAAACCAAGTTATAAGTCGTCTATTCATTAAAACAAGCTGTAAATCGTCTATTGATTAAACCAAACACTAAATCGTTTATTAAAACTAGTCGTGAATCGTCCATAGCCTCTCAGAAGTTGTAAATAAATTAAACTGAAAATATCACATAAACATTTATTAACATGTTCTATAACACCAATAATATGAATATATTGATAAATAGTTACCCTATGATTGAAGTAAAAAGTGCTTTATATTAAATAGTGAAATTACTGTATAGTGAACATTGCATATTATAATATTTGTTTAAGTCAAAGTACTTATCGCATTATGATAATTTACATGCAACATATTGAGCAATTGTTAAATCGTCTCGTTACAAGTATTGCACTGCTATAGTTTTCATCGGTAGAGGAAAAGGTACGTAAAATAACTCTGCTTTAAATCAAATGTCTGTCACGCTAAGAATAATTTGATATGCTGTGAATACATGACTAAAAGTTGGCTCTTTTTTCTCACAAGGTCATATCAGGAACAAATGGAAATATTATGAATGTTAATTGAAGTGCTTCTTAGATTTAATTTTCAATGTATGATAGTTTGCTTTAAATTTGTGTCATAAGATTTTTGTAAATATACATATCCCTGCTAGCTTAGTAATGATATAATATATAAATAACACATAGCTGAGAGGGTGATAGAGTAGATTGTTACCCCGAGAAAACATTGTCAACTGAGGCGAAGCCAAGGTTGACAATGTCTTTTCAAGGGGTAACTATCTGCTGTATCACCCTCTCACATATGTGTTATTTGATTTATTATACTGAATGTTCTGTTATTACTGTCTATTAAATTTCAAATTCCAAGTAATAAAGTATGACGTCTTGTACATAACAGTCATCCGTATTTATTAAAGCGCACTCTTGAGCAAGCGTCTTCGTGAAGTGGAATAGAGTAATTAACATAGGATAGAGTAAATTGTCTCCATCATATTAACCAATCAAAATCTGGCATTTTGAAATGAAGTATAATAAATTTACATTCTCCACTGCAGTATTAAAGCCTTCAAAAACAATTGATTAAACTCAGATTTTTAAAATACGATCTTCGTTTTGTAGTTTTTTTTCGTCTATACAGTAAACGAGCTCTGTTGCTCGAATAATTGTAAAGTTTGGTCAAATAGTGCCCGGTGAACTCTTTTACAATTCTGTACATTCAAGTAAAATGTGCCCCTCTTGTCAGTTTTTTAAATCTGCTACTATAATTTAGCGCATATGCTCTTCAACTTCGTATTTTATTTGGCCTTAAACTTTTTGAATTCGAGGGTCACTGATGAGTCTTGTGTAGACGAAACGAGCGTCTGGCGTACAAAACTATTAACCTAGTATCTTTGATGAGCTTTGTTTATTCATAATCTCGTTTTTCGATCAAATAGCTAGAATCTGCATTTCAAGTGTTATAGCATTTACTTTTCCCTTGTCCTAAGTAAGGCTACATATAGAGGAACACAAGGATGATATACTAAACAAGTGTCGCAGGCTATTGTGACATGGAATAACGGGTCTTATTTTAACCTATTCTGTTGAATTTATTTCCAAAATATTAATTCATTTTTATCGTTTGTATGCATGAATGTAAATTATAGTTACAATAAAATATTGTGTGCTGGCGATTTTGTCACATGTCTGTGTAAAGGTCTAGCTATTGTGGTGGGGAGCAAGACTTTTTAGCTGCATCTGGCTAGCCTATTGTGTAGGTGAAAAAAAAGCCGAATTTGAAGTTTTTCATGTTAGTTTGAAGACTTCTACGATGCCTCCCCGCAACAGCAAATGGTAACTAGGATCTAGAATCCTAGACAAAACTGAAGAAGATCTAACAAGGACTCTGGCCATGGAGATGAGGTATTTAGACACGTTGTGGTGTGGACATGGCATACCACTCATCAAACTTGCCCCGGCTATGGATTAATAGCCGATCGGAGGCAGGTCATCAGCCTTGGGTCAATGATTCATCTAGGAGAAGAACACTAGTATATAGATTCAGGTAGATTTTGACTCGGCAACCGATCTAAAGGAAAGAAACATTAAGTGAAAATTCTTTGGCTCCCCAAGTTGCGGATGAAGCGACAGACAACAAAACGTCCTCGTAAAAAATCCAAAATATTACGAATAATTATATACTCCGGAGTCAAAAGTCGGTAATATTGGAATTTTTAATATCTGCTAGTAGAAATTGGGATAGATTATACAGGAGCTTTTTAGGAAGAGAGATAAGAAGTTAGCAATATCCTTTAACTTTACGTTCCGCTATATAGATGATGTTCTCTCACTAAATAATACAAAATTTGGTGGCTATGTTGAACGAATCTATCCTATCGAACTAGAGATAAAGGATACTACAGATACAGTTAGGTCTGCCTCATATCTTGACTTACATCTAGAAATTGACAATGAGGGTCGGTTGAAAACAAAACTTTACGACAAAAGAGATGATTTCAGCTTCCAAATTGTGAACTTTCCATTTCTATGTAGCAACATTCCAGCAGCGCCTGCATACGGAATATATATCTCCCAATTGATACGATATTCCCGGGCTTGTGTTTCCTATCATGATTTCCTTGATAGAGGATTGCTGCTCACAAGGAAGCTATTAAACCAAGAGTTCCAAATGGTGAAGTTGAAGTCATCCCTTCGTAAATTTTACCGACGCCATCACGAGTTGGTTGACCGTTATGGAATAACCGTTTCACAGATGATATCGGATATGTTCCTTATGTCGTAACTACAATACCCTTCCCTTTTCACGAACATGACTTACCGAATTAGACTATTTACCGGATTTGTAATAACATAAGCAACACGACGGGTGCCACATGTGGAGCAGGATCTGCTTACCCTTCCGGAGCACCTGAGATCACCCCCAGTTTTTGGTGGGGTTCGTGTTGCTTAGTCTTTAGTTTTCTATGTTGTGTCATCTGTACTATTATTTGTCTGTTTGTCTTTTTATTTTTGGCCATGACGTTGTCAGTTTGTTTTCGATCTATGAGTTTGACTGTCCCTCTGGTATCTTTCCTCCCTCTTTTATAAGAAGATGTGATATGAGTGCCAATGAGACAACTCTCCATCCAAGTCAAAATGTTATAAAAGTAAACCATTACAGGCCAAAGTACGATCTTAAACACGGAGCCTCGTTTTTAACCGAACAGTAAGCTATAAAGGGCCCCAAAAATATCTAGATTTGTACTAGGATGATCCTTCTAGAAGATTACTTAAATAAACACAATGATAACAATCTTTTGACCGCTCGTATTATTGTAATGAAATTAAATAACTCCAGTTGATATCAAGCGATATCCAATTCTCAGTCGTTATGAAACCTATATATGAATACAGGAAACAATGAAAAGGTTAGCCTTTATTTTTCAGGTCAGAGATGAGGTTGTTACTGATTTCAGCCTACTTGGGATTTTTTATATGTTATGCCCAAAACATTGACGATATTATCAAAGGAGCAGTTGATGCTGCAATAAAAGACACTCCGAAAACAAGTACACAGCAAATAAATACCAGTAAGTATGGAAAACATATTTGGTTTGTAATCAAATAAGCTTGCTTGAATAGGTGGAGGCTATCGGCTTGCTTGAAGAGGTGGAGACTTTCGACTTGCTCATATGATCCCTGTTTTATTTTAGCACAATTTTTCTTCGAACTGGATACCATATAACTCGAAATGAGTTAGAGTTTAAGTAATCTTTTCATGCTAATTTTGGTCATATATTATTTATCCTATATTAATGCCTATCGATGCTCTTGACCAACTATAAAAGGTCTCGTCATCATAATGTGAAACTAACGACTGCTTGATTTATGACAAAACAAGTAGACGAAAAACAAATATGACAGTTAGCAACCAATGACAACTAATAAATGATAAGCTCCTGACCTGATTGTTGACAGGCATTTTAAGAATTTGGCGGAATTTAACATGATTAAGGAGAGCTAAATGATCCCCAAATCTGAAAATCTGTTAAAAATTGATAAACTCAACAGATTGATACGAAGCAAAAAAAAAATATTAACTACTAAAAATCAAAAAGCCACAAACAACCGATCTAACTTTACTGTTTAATAGTGGAAAGGAACCCAAAGCAAGACAAGACAACTGCAAGTAGCAGGCATTATTGGTAGACATGTATTTCTAGAGTATGCAAAATTATAAACTAAGATTTTGATCGTGACCTAATAAATTAATGCCTAACGATACTCATGATAAAGACTTGATATATTTCATATATCATTGATTTAAAATCTCAACGAAACAACTCTCTGTGTCCTAATAGAGATGTGATCCGTTTGTACATTTGTACTTTGAAATTAAAAACAGCATTCTGTCAAATCGTTACCTGTATGGAATTTTATAAGTATCTGTAAGTATTTGAAAAGACTCAAATACATCCTGAATTTCATGTATAGAATGATTTCACGCGTTCATGTAAAGAATGATATTACACGGTCATGTATAGAATGATATCAAACAGACGTCAGTGACCTAAATGAAAAAAAGAAAAGCAAAACAAACACACAGCAGCAGGATCAGTAAATGAATAAGCGCTTTACTTTAAATTGCAGACTTCAATCGGTTTTTGAGAAATTCCCAACAATCAGGAGCTGCGGGACAACAAGGGACACCAGGAAGAACACCAGGAGCACCAGGAGGAGCACCAGGAGCTGTAGCACCACAAGTATTGACGACGGCATCTGGAGTTCCACGAAGAGGGTCCACACGACGTGCTAACTTGTTCGGAAGACGCAGACCAATAAGACAGCAAGACCAGCCCGCATCAAGGGCTGCTACTTTAGTTGAAAAAACAGCTGCAAGTGTACAAAACACGTAATTATTAACACAATATTGAGGGGTAATTATGTACATATCAGATGGTGATTCTACGTATTTATTCATCAAATGCGTTCATGTTAGAGTTTCAGCTAACACAACCAGCCCCTGTTTTTTCTCTTTCTAAGGTTTGGTTTGTTTTGGCTATTTTTTAAAATTTACTGTCAAAATCAGAATGTTGGGACTGTAAAAAATTGTTGAAATTATCGAAAACAATGTGTTTCCTACCTACCTATACCACTTTTCAGAGCATTATAGCAAAATAGCACCATTTTATCCTAACATCTCTGGATGTCATTTAAATAAAACATAGTACTTTTGTCTGGGAGAATATTAGTTATCTTGGTATAATCAGGATTGTACAGAATTTTACACCGGCGTTGAAAATTCATACACCCTGAGATGCATTTCAACACCGGTGTAGAATTCCGTACACTCCTCATTAAAAGGGGATTAGCTGTCAAATTTATGTTCACTAATTTACTCAAATTTTTATATTTGATTTATAACTAATTAATCATTTTTCAAAATTTCAAAATAAACAACTAACATTTGCATGGACTCGATCATATATATCAGCATTTCGTGTTATTTAAGTCTAGACGCCATATAATTAACCAACGAGATGAACTGCGAATGCTGCCAACGGTCATATGACCCGATATAAACATAATATAGATATAAAAAGATAGCGACTTCGTGCAATTGGATTTTTCTAGGTCTGTTTGGTTTCAATTTATAGGTTTAAAAAAATATGTTAATCATCGTTTTTATCTCTATAATAATTTATTGTGGCCGGTTAAGTCCATTTCGCGTTTTCGCAATTTCGCCTTTCATATTCAATGGTCGAAAACACGAAAACGCGAAATGGTTTCACTTCTTGTTTTCGCGTTTTCGACTTTGCTATTTTGCGATTTCGCGATTTCGCGTTTTAGCGTTTTTTGCAATTTCGCGTTTGTCGATTACTGCCAACTTCTGTCAATCATCTTGTATCTTTGATCTGATTGGATAATGATTAATAATTTAAAGACTAATTAACTGCGAGTTCTCTTATATCAATGCTTTGGGTCTATTGTATTTATGTTAGTTGGGATGTTTGGGATTTGTACCGATCTATAGAGTTAAGCCATTTGCAACTGATTTTTACAGTTTGTTTTTGGGTCACACCACTGTATCACGTTGAGGGAGGTTTTAGCGCTCATAAATATGTTGAACTCCGCCACATTCTTTATTTGCCGGTCCTAAATTGTCTGTCATTTTTGTTTTTCGTAAATTCTAATGTTATGAATCCGGCCGTTAGATTTTCTTGTTTGATTTGTTTCATATTTTTAGTGGTGACTTATATCTTCCGTCATAAGAACTCTGGTGGATAATTGTCTAATCGGCAATCATACCACATCTCTTTATGTATTATAAGTAGAATGAATAAGCGTTGATTCTTGAAAAAGAAACCATGAACCCGGAGGGCGAATGGTTTGTTTTTCATGAATCAAAGCTTATCATTGTATCTATAACTTAAACTATTTTGTTGATGTCTTTTCAAAATTAAAGCCTTTTCTTAATTAGAAGGTATTGTTAGTGAGTATAAATAACCCTCTTATCATGTTGAACGATGCACTAAAGTTCACAATTAATTGGTTAGAGAAATAGAAATATAACATAACACGTATGTCTTTAAATTATTATGCATCTGAATAGTATCCATAATTTACAAAATAGGACATATTCGAACTTATTTCTAAGTATATATAATAAGTATATTACCAACAATTCTAGCAAGAAACCTTATTTTTGGCACATAACAATTTACTCGCCTAGGTATTTTCGAATAAACAGTAGTAATTATATGTAGTAAAACAGATGAAATCATACTATATATATAAAACTAAAATGCACAAATTGCATGTCATATTTTTTTTCCAAGTACATGAATTGGCCAATAATAATCCAAAAATAAACGGGAAAAACCGACAAGTCTCTACTTCTAACTTGACTCTTTAACGCATGGAAATTAACCTTGCTGATACCAACATATATCATACAATTGTCTATTATGTATATATAAAGGTACATACCCTGTGTGTCCGTTGTATCGATGTGTATCATATGTTCATTTATATATATATAATAGACATCTGGATTGCAACCCATTGGTAGCCGAGAGGTTTCATCGATGTGTTGATGTCAGTCACACATAACAGATTTCAAGGAGGGGTTCCAATATCAGTGAAGGCATATAAAAATTACAAAAGTTATAGGTAAGTTTTTAAGTTAATTCCATTAGTGAACAGAAATCAGTAAATAAGCTAATTCAAATTTAATGAAATTAGGCACATAAAGGAAACAATTGAATATGATTTGGTGAGTCCATTTAAGCGACAGATATAGGAAGCATTGATTCTAGTAAAAAAATTCACGGTAAATGAATAGGCTGACGTCACGGCAATGGTTTAATTTTACATAACTTAAATATACAACTTAAATAATTTAAATAATTCATGGTTAATAATAACTTTCTATCTAAAATTCTAAAGTACCGTTTGCATCTATTTCAAACGTCGGTTTCATGTCTTACAAAATAAAAGTCTGTTTATTTATATTTAACATCAATTTTACAGGTCAATCAAAAGTGGTCACGCTCGACAAAACACAACTCCAACTAGACACTATACCAAATGTGTTACGGGTCAAATCATTATTCAACTTTTGTAGGTCAGCACAAGCACGATCGGCATTAAACGACAATTTGAAGCGAGGAATCTCCGATGGAGTTAAAGGCGCGGAACCTGAGCTATTTATTGCTAAAACAATTTCTTGTAATCATTTTGATAAATACCGAAAGCCGGATGGTACATGTAACAACTTGTTCCAAACAGACATGGGAGCTGCAGGGACACCACAGTCCAGATTTTTATCACCAGAGTATGGGGATCGTAAGTAGAACAATACAAAACACGTCCACAACGATTTGTAAGGGATCCTTAATTGTTAAAACATTTTAATATGCTGTTTTTTGTTTTAATACTAGCTAGCATTAGTAATATAGCTTTAATAAAATAGTCAACAACTTTATAAAGTACACTTTACTAATCCATCACTATTCGTATATTTTATGTTAATGTATAAGTCTATTGCCAAGAGTCTCAGCAAAGAACATCAGTCACAATTTAAGTAAAAGTTGGTTATTAGGGTGGGAGTAGGGAAAACAAGGGAGGAGGTTGTCCAAACTGACTTGTAAGAAATAGAAAATATTATACGTACCAACATTTAAATACAAATGTATGGGTTTTAATGGCTGTAACATTTTTCCTTGATATAGTCACTACTACATGTAAAGTACATCTTAAAAACATTTACAGCATGGAATCTAGGGTTTTATCCTCGTACACGTGGAAAAGATGGTACTCCACTGCCAGGTCCAAGAGAAATATCCAACGCTGTTTTTAGAAGTCCATCCTCACCAAGAAGTAATAAATTTAATGTGGCTATGACACACTTTGGTCAATTTATTGATCATGACGTCGTCGCAACCCCTATTGAAATTGGTAAGTAAAGTCCAAGGTGAACAAAACGATTTTTTTGTGTTGGAGGCATATCTTTCAAATAGTGATTTTACATGGAATCTCATATTTGATGGCTGACACTATAGTAAATAAAAGTTAAAGAAAAATATGTTCATTGGTGTAATTAATTTCACTATATATCATTTATAATTATTTTGCCTGAATGTATGTTTGTAACTCCTTAGTCAAAAAAGAAAAAAAAAAGACATCATTTTTGTACTTTTTGAATTGAATATATATGACGGTAGATGAAAATAATGATTATTGCTTTATTTGGTTTTTGTTTGATGACGATCCAGATTTTGGACCATATATTAGTATATCTTTGACATTGATTCTTTTGACCTTGAATGATAATGACAAAAGAAAAATATAACACATTTTGATATTTTGGCAATTATTTATTATTATAAATACAATCTTTTGTACATTTTATATATAAAAAAGACAATAAGAAAAACTCACACCGCATATAAGTTACACAAGGTCCAGAAAATAATTGTCAAACATTTCAAAAGAGAAAACTACCAACCAGATTTAACTGATAATATCAAAACATTTGTAACAGACCGATACAACAAATAATACAGATAGATTTACGGCAGACAGATACATTAAAATACAAACCGTACCTGATACGTAGCAAATCGGGAAACCCCTTATAGAATTGAGAACTAAAACGGGGAATGTATCAAAGAGACAACAAACCGACCAAGCAGCAGAAAACAGCCCAAGGCCACCAATGGGTCTTCAACACAGCGAGAAAATCCCGCACCCGAAGGCGGGCTTCAGCTGGCCCCTAAACAATAATGCACACTTGTATAGCAAGATGGAGGCAACACTAAACTCAGAAACTTATAAATGAACCAAAATTAAAAATTACACAAGACTAACGAAGGCCAGAGGTCATAAGTCCACAATAAACCATAACAACGCCATGGCAAAAAACAAAAACACGACGGAAAGACAAGCAGTATACAAAACACAACATGAAAAAAAACATCAAGCACGGAGGATTCGTTCTTTACAAATATCTAGTAAATGATTAAGAAAAAAAATCCTTGAAATTCCTTAGTATTGGGATTTCAGAAACTTCAAGATATTGTATAGACATTTAATTCTGGATCAATCGTAAAGATTTATAGGACTCTTTGATGGACTATTGTTTTAGCCTTTTAGATATTCCGTCGTATGGGCTGTTTTCTGCTCTTTGGTCAGGTTGTTGTCTCTGATACATTCACCGTTTCCATTCTCAATTTTATTATAATGATGTAATTACCATTTTTCAAAACTGTGAAAAGTTGAAAATAAAGCTGAAAACAAAGTATCATAAATATTTGACTGAGATGTAGAAAGTTATGTAGGAATCGAATTTATGGACTCGTATTTTGAATAAACAAACAGCTCATATAAATAAAGAGCCATCTTTCCTGAATAGAGCAGTACAAAATATTAGTAAACAATGTATTTCTTTTTTTTTTTTAAATATTTCCTATGTTTCAATTGAACATCGACCATAGATTTTAGATATACGTAATATACCTAAATTCTACTTATCCTTTTGCTTAGAAATTTTCATAGAAAGAGTTCATAGCATGCATAACATTTAAACGTAGTATAGCTAAGATGTTTTGGATAACAATTTTTTTCAAAGCAAAATTATCTGGAAAATAGTAGAGACACAACTGTAACATTCAAACAATATTGTTTTCTCGGAACTTCTGTTGTCCAACTAGATGAATAAGCTACATTATAATTTAATGGGAATTGGGAGATAGAACAAGATAGTTCTGACAAAAACTCGTAGAATGTAGAAATCTTGTATTACAGTTGTATAGGGAGATAGACCATTGCATCTGGATCTCAAATATAAAGCTACACCGTGTTTATAAAAATGGACATAGAATACCATAAGACTCTCACGACAATTCGATTAAATTTTTCTTACTTTTTATTTCATATATATTTTGATCACTTTTACCTACTCACAGATACTGATGGCACTGATATAGAATGCTGCAATGGAAACTTCCCTGTCATCAGGTGAGTTAGGGAATAATTATATCATATATGCAAAGGAAACTTCCCTATCATCAGGTGAGTTAGGGAATAATTAAATCATATATGCAATGGAAACTTCCCTATCATCAGGTGAGTTAGGCAATAATCAAATCACATACAGATGCAATGGAAACTTCCTTATCATCAAGGGAGTTAGGCAGTTATTAAATCATATATGCATTGGAAACTTCCCTATCATCAGGTGAGTTGGGCAATAATTAAATCATATACGCAATGGAAACATCCATTTTATCAGGTGAGTTAGGCAATAATTAAATCATATATCAATAGGGGTGGACGATAATCGGCATTTATACAATGAAATATGAGTTTTCCTTCAATGCGCAATTCATCAATAGGAAAACTGTAGTTAAAAATTAATATTCCATCTTCATGCCTTATATTTCATGTACTGTGTCACGACGCTAGATAAAAACTGACGAGGAAAGGTAACACCCGGCCACCGAAAGCTTGATTTTTGTCGACCCTAGGTGGTCAAGTGGTCTAGCGCGTCGGGTATAGTGCAAGGCGATTTGGTGCCACGATATCTCAGTAATATGAGTTCAAATCCCGGCCAGGGAGGAACAAAAAATTTGCTTTCGCATATTTACAGATCTAACATTGTTGGGCTGTTATTTAGACGAATTATATATACAAGTCATAATTGAAAACAACGTTCAAACCTATGATTGCGTTGGATAAAAACCGCAATTTTTATACGTGTGCATGCAAAACTAATTTATTTGTAGAGGGGTCTAAATACAGCACAAACAACATTTTCCAAAAGACCAAAAAAGGGAAAAAGTATATTTTAACAAAACACATTTGACTAGCAGGTCAAACAACGGATGTTCTTAAACCCTGCTGACTGCCATGGCGATTGCCAAATAAATGGATCACCAGATGTAACAAAATGGATCTATATATATGTACTTCCTTCATTAAATTTGACCGTATATGGATGAGGTCATTCGTTAAGGCGCATTTTGATAATGTTGGTCGTCACGTGTTTATTAGGTTCTTATAATACAGCCTTGGTTTTTTATTTTGCTGGTATGAGCGTGACCTGATGAGGGTAAATCCAGTAGAGCATGACACAACAACTTTATACAGTGATATTTTCACTTTTCAGTCTTCAACAATATAAATACATAGGTGTTTTTTTTTCTTTTTCGATACATACAATCAAAAATCAAAGTTAAAAAAGCTGTGAAAAGTAAAATAACAAAAACACCGAACTCCATGGAAAATTCAAAACGGAAAAGTTTCTTATCAAGTGGCAAAATTAAAAGCTCAAACACATCAACCGAATGGAAAACAACTGTCATATTCCTGACTTGATACAGGCATGTAAAAAATGGTGGAATTAACCTGGTTTATTGCTAGCTAAACCTCTCATTTGTTTGACAGTCGCATATGTGAATTAATTTCACAGTGACTATCAAATTATAAGATATGAAACACGTAATAGCTTTTCTAAAAAGCTTGCCGTGTTTTAGCTTGATTTTTTGATTTGTAGTTTCATCAATTCAAAATATTACTCTTTAAATGAATTTGTAATGGGGTACAAACAGTGGAATACTGGAAAGGTCAATATAGTATTTTAAGGGTTACACTTTTTTTTGTGCGTGGAAACTTTTAACCCCTGGAAAGAGCTTTATTTCTAAATCACTTGCGTTTTTGTCTGTACTAATTTCGGTGAACTTTTTAAATGACTAATTTTTTCAGCAGACATGTCATTTATTTACTCCCTGTTTGTGTTTGAGAAAAGTGTGATCAATATCTTTTATTAACTGTCCCGATAAACCAACTCACAAACGTTTTAGATCCCACTGAATCTGTATTATACTGGAACTAAAAATCGACAAATTGGAATGTTATAAAGTAACGTAAATACATGTATGACTTTCCGGTCGTTATTTTCTGTCTTTATATTGGTATTCTTGTTAATTGTTTTTTTTAAGCTTTGTATCAATCTCTTTTCGACTGATTTTTCTGTTAGTTCTTACGTAAAAGAAACGACAGGATATGGGATATCCATCCATGACACAAAAGTTAGATACATCAGAGTCATATATACACATATAATTACATTACATATATATTTCACGAGAATCCGAAAGTTTGATTGGCTAACAACAATCGCGCGTCATTTAAAAATTAACTTTCCTATCAAAATGAAATGTTACATTCGTGATGTCACGTGCTTCCACTAAAAAGTGCACAGGTAAATAAAAGAAAAAATTTGATAAAACTTTTTTTTCATGGTCTTATATCCATAAAAATGTAATTATAAAAAATGAATGCTTCTTTTTGTAATTTTATTTGGGTGTAAAAGTGTTGATCGTGCACACATTTTTAGAGGAAGCGCTTCATACAAAATGTGCTTCGTTAATTGTATATATTTCTGGAAACACTTTATGTATGCCTATTTACACAGGAAACACTTTATGTATGCCTATTTCCACAGGAAACACTTTATGTATGAATATTTACACAGGAAACACTTTATGTATGAATATTTACACAGAGTAATTCTGTTTTTTTTAATTCAAGATCGTAATGATTTTGTTATTTTCAAAATGAAAAAAAGTTAAGTTCAACCTAGTTTATATTTTTTAATTGAAAGATATTATCTTGATATTTCATTGTTGTTTTTAGATCTGAATGTTTTCCGTTTTCAACACCACCGGGAGAGTTTTTATACACTTGTATGAATTTTGTTCGTTCAGCGCCAACAGGAACGTTTCCTTTTTATCCAGGTAATCACTTTGAGTTTTCGTGTTCAACTTTTGGATCAATTTCTTATTTCTTTACACATTTTTTGTATAATTTGTCCGTTGATCTGAATAGTATGGCTCCATTGAGCATGTATGGGGGAAACGTTTGAAGATCAGTTGCAAATCGTATATTATTCCAATTTGTACGAATTGCTTCATTATGACACATACGTGTAGAAAATTTAAATGCTTTTTTGATGTCACTTTAACAATACAAAATGGGAAAAGTTAAAAAATAAGATAAAAGCATCGTCCTATCTATCAGTTTTACTTCAAATAAACTACATGTACGATGATGTGAAGTGTGTGTTTTTGTAGAAGTTTAAGCATTAAGTGTAGATTTCAAAGATTTGCAATTTATTTTAAGATGGTCCGTTTATGAACAACTTTGTAAGATCTCAATCCATCGATTGGTCCACTAAGAGTGACAGTTTTGAAGTTGACTTATTTAAGACTGTGAACTGTTTATCTAATATGTTGAGATTATAATGTGTCTTCCATCTTTTGAATTAGATATTAAAAGAATACTAGTGTGTACTTTAAAAAGAGATTTACAACAAAAGTAATTCAAGTTTTTGATATATGGGTCTCCTTTCGAAAGAGTCGAATCTACAGTGTTAGGTCAATTGCATCGAATAACTGCTGACTCTCAAAAAAGATATATATATAGCTAATCTGCAATCAATTTCATCTTCATGCCTCATATATCATGTAATGTGTTACAACTCTAGATTCTACTGACGAGGAAAGGTAACACTAGGCCACCGAAAGCTGAATTTTTAGTTCAGTCTAGGTGGCCGAGTGGTCTAGAGCACTGGACACAGCGCAGGCGGTGTAGTGACGATATCCCAATAGCATGAGTTCGAATCCCGGCGAGGGAAGAACAAAAATTTACTTCCGCAAATTTGCAGATTTACCATTGTTGTGCTGATATTTATAATATATATAATATGTGTTTTCAGCCGTGTATCACTTTCACTGGTAATCCTATGGATGGATCTGTCGTAGAGTTGTCACTGGTTTAGACGTACTTATCAAATATATATATATATATCTTTGTCCTATGCCGTTAGATATCGTTTAGGGAAAATAAAAAAGCAAATTTTCGATACTTCTCTTCACCATACGCTCTCTCTCTGGTTTCGTTTTATTGTCAAGGTTGATATAAATGGGAAATCCGAACAAAATTCATTCAATTTTAATATACTAAAATATCCTATCCCTCAATACATTTCACTAAGTAAACGAACTCCAAGATCGTTTTCCTTGACATTAGTTTTCATTTGATGGATGGAATCATCATATTCGCTTTCCTAGTCAAATGGAAACTGTATTGAAAGCATTGCCTACAACCACAATTTCATAAATAATCAGATTTATTCCTCTAATGATACATTGACATTTCAATTTCAAGAAATTTGATGAAACCTACCCAACAGAAGAAGAAAAACATAAGTACAGGCTATTCTCTTGCTAACAATATGCAGTTTTTTTGTTGACATACAATCCAAATTTTGATATGTCACACGTTATTTGCAAAAATCGGATGGAAATAGAAAAACACCTTCTAAACCGCCAAATAATCTTTCACCCAATTTACCAGTACAGGCTTTCGTAGACCTAAAAGACCTAAAGACTTGTTAGACAAAATCGATTTTTCTTCTTAACCATGATCGTCACCAGCAGGTTCTGGCAAGGGTTATGTAAAAACCAGTTGTCGGACTTGCAAATCCGCATTATCCTGGATCTCCTTTTATCTAATATATCGCCGAAGTGGCTAAAAATATAATAAAGAGGTAAAACGCAAGTTTATATATTATCTTGAAAACCGCTACAAATAGAGAAAATCTAACAGAACATAATTGTTCAGAATGATAAGATCGAGATAGTGTATATTTTACACCAAAAACCCATAAGATTTATTGCCCGTAAAGGACGATTTTACATATTGGTTTCATCATTTCCTCTCATCTTGAAAATTATTGTAGGGTGTGAGAAACTGCAAATACCAGTAGCAAAAATGATAAGCAAGACAACATCTATAAATGGTCAATAATGGCCGAATTGTAGGTCAGCTCCTTATACGTAGTTATGAATTTTTGTCTGGGTTCGGCTGTCCTCTCTTACTTTATAAACTCTTCAACCTTTGTATTAGGCTTTGGATTTTCATATCTTTGGGCCTCGAGCATCACTCAAGAAACTTTATATGGATCTGATGCAGTAAAATTAACACTTTTCATGTTTTTATTGTCATCGTTTCTATGTCGAAAAGTGACCGGTTTGGGGCTGCAGTTTTCCTTTCCTAACCAATTAAACACATTCGTACAGATGATGAACGAAATAAATGTCACCGACGTGACAATGACACGTATAGAGTATTCACTGCCGTAATATATCTTCTTAAGATATTGAATGATTTAATTACTTACACATAAAGGAAAAAGAAGTAAAGATATAAAACTATTGATTATAAATTCTCAAAGAACTAAGTTAGATGTATTTTACTCATCAACCGTCAGTTAATTTGTCATTTTACGAAAATTTTTGTATTGTATTTTGCAATATTTGCTCACAAAGTAATTACTAGGCAACATCTGTGTTGTGCTTTTGTCTTGTTTTAGAGCAAATTTGACTGAGTATTTCCACTTTTAAAAATTTCATCATTATTTTTAGCCAACACTATCCGAAAGATTTGAATGAGTCTCTTCTATTGTGTATCCATAAATTACAAACATTTGACTTTTAAATTTACCGTTGTTCATCTTGGAATGTTGAAACATATTGTTAAATACTAAACACGACATGTATTTGCAAACCACTACGAATATGAAATAAATATATAATCCTGCAAAATATGTTGCAACTTTTTGAAAATTATTCTAAATGGACCAGTTGTCTACTTGACAAACGGACTTTATCTTGTGTAATCTCATACAATCAGGGACCGACAGAGTCCTCGATAAACCGAATGACGCCCTTGTAGAGGAAGACACACATTTTACAAATGATGATACAAACTGAGTTCACATGGGGAATTGATGTATCGTGACAGTAAAGTCTACATTTTCACACACTGATATTATTATTTCTTCTGCCGGTGTATAAGTTAAGCAAACACAAATAACGCTAATTTTTAAGATGTGATTAAGCTGAAAATCTGATAATCAATGACATCTTAAAGGGAAGTGATTTGTCAGCTTCAGGGATTAGTTGGATCTAGATTAAAGGCACTATATATACTATACGAACCGTGTGTATGACCGTGATAAAATTGAGAATGGAAATGGGGAATGTGTCAAAGAGACAACAACCCGACCATAGAACAGACAACAGCAGAAGGTCATTTTAATCAAACATAAAGAATACTTACTTTGGAATTACTGTAATTTCATTCCTAAATACTACTTTGCACATATAATATATTAGTGTTTTAGCTAAAACAATTAGTTATATTTATATATTAAAGTGAAACATATGACTGATTTTTAAAATGTTCTTTTGGAATTGTAAGGTCCACGTCAGCAACTAAATGCACTAACTTCGTGGTTAGATCTCTCACAGGTCTATGGAAGTAGTGATGAGGAATTAAGCGACCTAAGCACAGGCAATGATGGTAAATATAACTTTGTCCAAATGTACCTAATTAAGTGAATTGACGCATTAGGGATAAATAAATATAGATCATACAGAAAATTTAAAAGGATGAATCTAAAGGATTTATTTGTTCAGATGCATGGAATGTATAAAGTGTGTTATTGATGATATTTCTATGGTGAGTTTATTTATAATCATTATATATACAACAACATTAAAAGAAAACAACTACATGCTTAAAGTCCTTCGGTTTTGGTCAGGCACATACAGACTATTTTAGTGGATGGTCAAATCTTTCCACGCGCCTATGACAGTGCTATGACAACACAACATCAGAACAAAACTGTGAAAATCAGTCGGAAAGGTCTTAACTCTTCATATCGGTATTATGCACAAAAAAAAAAGCAAATGACAATATAGAATTAGACAAAAAGTAAAAGTAAGAAGATATGTTTATTCACAGAGCCAAAAATTGCAAACGAAACAAATATATTTTCGATAAAAAATCTTTATTATGAATTATTAGACTAAAAGACTGAGCACTTAAACTCCAAAATAAAATAGATTGGGAACAATCTTAGGACTCCAAAAGGATATCCAGATCCTTATCTACCTGTGCCACTCTTCTTGTTGCGAAAAACTGCAAACAAACAAAACACACAAGCAAGTGCAACCTATAATACAACCTTCTCATTTTCATTGGTTTGTTTTAGTCTTAATATTTCTGAAATTAATTTAGAGCTGACTGTAATTTTACCACGTCCTATATTGTACATCAGGTCTGTTGAAAGAAGGAAGTGATGGATTACCAGACAACCCAGACGATGATTCGTGTGCCGAAACAGCCAATTCAGATTGTTTTATTGCAGGTAGGTTCAATAAAAAAAGCAGGAATTTTATATTAAACTGTAATCACCTTCAAACAATATATTTTCTGTAAAATATTATCATAACTATCTCATAACAAAACAGAAAGTCTAAGGAGAAATGAGTTTTTTAGGCTAGTTTTCTGGTCTGTTTTTATATGTCCATTCATTTCATTGTCTGATTTACATGTGTTTTTTATAACTTCATGGTATCGTCCAATAATTCTTAACAAAACAAGTGAGATAAAATATTGTTATAGTCGCTACATTACATCAGAAATTAAATAAGTAGATGGTTTTAGCTTATTTATTTGCTTTTCAAATACAATACATTTCAATCAAGTGGTGAACATCGAAAATCACATATGATGTACTTATTTCATTATATTTTTTTTCAGGTGACCATAGAAACTCCGAAGTACCTCTCCTCACTGTCATGCATATACTTTTCCTAAGGGAACATAATAGAATAGCAACAGAACTCAAAAGTCGTCACAAAGGGTGGAATAATGACAAAATATTAAATGAAGCACGGAAGATTTCAACTGGAGTTTATCAACATATAGTATATAACGAATTTCTTCCAGCTCTTCTTGGTTTTGATTGGTCAATAGCTGTTGGTTTGATGAGTCAACCACAAGGTCATACAAATCGGTATAGCAGTTTTTTGGACGGTTCAACCCGTAATGCTTTTGGAGCAGCTGCGTATCGGATGGGACATTCTCTCGTCGGTAATTCTGTTGGTGCTTCAAATTCATTATTTAACGAGATTCGATCTAAAGAACTTCGTGAAACATTTTTTAACACGGAGACTATTCGAGACAGTGCTCAATATGGTCCAACACGGATTGGAAGATGGATGTCTTCACAATATGATAGAAAGATGGATAGATTTTTGTCTAAGGAAGTGCGGGATCATTTGTTTCAAGATACGAATAACCCATTAGATGCACTCGACCTTGGAGCCCTCAATATTCAACGAGGTCGAGATCATGGTCTACCAGGATATAATAGATTCAGACAGTTTTGTGGCCGTTTTCCAGCTGCATTTTGGACAAATACACAAGGAGGATTTGTAGACCATGATTCCGACACTGTAGCCAAGTTAAAAAGTGTTTACAGGTATGTTTTTTGTTAATTGCTTTTTTAATAAGAAACATGATTTAGAATATTGGCCGTTTCTAATGGATAAATTTAACAGCTTATTTTGGTTTATTAACTATATAACTTACAGTTATTTGTTGTTTGTTGTCGTTCCTAGTTAGATATGAATAAGAATAAGTCAAATTAGGGGCAGCAGTAGTTAACCTTGGTTAAATCCTTTAATTTATTTAGAATATATGAAATGATATTAAAAAAAAATCCCGAAATATTGCATGAACTCCAAACGGAGCAAGATCGGGTTTGTCGACTTGGTATGCGTCTCCTCATCCACCATGCAAACCAACACTCAAATTGTTAAAAAAGGGAATTAGTCACAATCGGTAAATTTATAGATCAGACGCCTTGTCTGGTATCTAAATACTTGAAATAAGAGACAAGATACCAGGAGGGAGGACAATTCCAAATCGTAAGTCCAATAAAAAAAAGACAGCACCACCATGGAAAATTCACCAGTAACAAAATATTACACAGGAATCTAAATATCGAACACCATGAAACCCAACATAAACGAGGGTAGAACTCGGGTGCTCCGGAAGGGTTAGCAGTTCCTTCTTCACATGTGAATCCTGTCATGTCGCTCGTGTAAGAAAAATTCAAGTTATAAGTCTCATTTAGTTAAGCTAAAAACCATGTCGCATGAGACCCAGACATATCGTATCGGTCAAACAATTCAAAGCAGGACTTCCAAAACATACTTGTTTGAGTCGCTTTCTTATTTACATTTATTAGTAGGCAATATTAATAATAAATCATTGCAACTGGCAAACATATCAACTGCAAAGTTGGAAATACTTTCGATAAATTACATTCATCCATCAATGATATCGACCCATTTATCCCATCTAATAACTATAGTTATTGAGTGGGATTGCATCAATGCAAATATTACAAAGTGATGTAAAGAGAAGAGCATTTTTTTTTTGTAGGAATGTAGATGACGTTGATTTATTCGTTGGGGCTTTGTCTGAGAGACCAGAATCCCCCGATACAGCTGTTGGTCCAACTTTTAGGTGTCTAATTGCCGTACAATTCCTCTACTATAAATATGCCGATAGATTTTTTTATGAACATTTTTTCCCAACAACTGGATTCAGTCTAGGTATGTTTATCCTTCATTATTCACGCATATATTTCGATCATCATGTGTTTTAGGTTCATTTCTACCATATGCAACTGTGCCGACCCTGGAGTATCGACTCTTGCGTAAAATCGTACCGACCTTAGTGGTACCTTGTACCGATCTATAAGAAACCCTATAAATACCCTGGAGTATCTTGTACCTACCTTGGAGTACATAGAAGAGACCAAATTTATTGCGCACAATACTTGTTGATAAAATGTCTATTCAAACATATGTACATACAAATGCATCAGCATAAAAAGCTAATAATTATTTATTACAAACTAATTGTCAAACAGATTTTAACATATGATATAACCAAAGTCCTTGCTGACTCTAAATAGTCTCCAGTAGTCAAAATCAACATACTACGGGTATAACGAAAACAAATGAATGGAAAACGATCAGGAGAATGATACTTATCGGTCCCAGCTGCATTTGTTTCTCCATAATTAGGTAATTGTAACACAGTTTTTAAATGACAACCGTCCAATGGTGTGACAGTTAGTGTAAATTGATGGTATTTAATTGATATAAACAATATCGACATATTAAGAAAACAACATTTATTTTTATTTCAGCCCAAGTTAATGATATAAAAAGGCAGACCCTTGCTAGAATATATTGCCGAAATCTAAATATAAAAAACATTCAACCAAAAATATTTTTGAACCCTGATAACACGTAAGTTTTAATGAATAACTTTTAGATGAAGATAACATGGATTCCGAAAGAGAAACATAAAAACCAAAAATACATTATTGTGATGAAAGATGGCAATATTTTACCAGAACACGTTCTAAATGCTGTTAACGTAATCATGTCTCAAGTCAGGTATATGACAGCTGTTTTCCACTCGTTCCGTTGGTTTATAATGGTTGATTTTGTCAGTTTTTATGGACTTTCCCTTTTTGAATTTGCCTTGGAGTTCTGTATTTTCGTTATATTTTTACACAGATAGACGAAAGAATGGGTTGAATAAATGGTCAACTTTACCTGAACATATTTCTAAAAAATAAAAAAATCGGATGTTGCCTTGCGCTGATCATTTACAAACGTGTCAATGTTTACATGACTTACCTGTACTCGACGAGCAAACATAATCAATTTTGTTAACCAACAGGTTACTATGCAATAATACTATTTTCAAACATTTTTTAATCTAAAACAAAAACGTAGATGCGGTATGATTGTCACTGAGACAACTGTCCACCAGAGTTCAAATGACTTGGATTTAAACATTAGTATGTCAGTCTACGGCCTTCTTCAATGAACAAAACTAGTACCGTTTAGTCAGCTGTAAGCTTATTAGTAATAATGATATTGGTATGATTGCCAATGAGACATCTATTCACAATTGACCAAATTATTAAGATTCTAACAACTTTATGTCATCGTTTGTTCTTCAACCATGAGCATAACCCAGCCCGTATAGCAAGCTACAAAAGCCCCCGACATGGCAAAATGTAAAACGATTCAAATGAAAAAAACAACTGAAATGAGAATATGAGATTTATGTACAAAACAATAAACGAAAAACAAATATGATAAACAGCAACAAACGACAACCACTGATCGCGAATTACAAGCTTCTGACTGGGGACAGTAACATACAAAATGTGGTGAGGTTATACATTTTGCGGGCTCCAAGTCTATCGCTAACCATGGACAGTGATATAACAGCACAACATAAAAACAAACTATAAAAATCAGCTGAAAATACTCAACTCATCAGATCGACAAAATAAATCCAGTTTTACATAAAGAAATAAATAAAACAAATAATGAGTAAAATTCATAGAAACCAGAATATGCGTCGTGTTTAGCAGACATTTGCAGCACAAATGTGATCACTCATACGGTATACCAGACGGAACCAGCAGACAAAGTCAGAGTCCGGCACAATATAAAAAAAAACCACATGTCCATGTAAAAATGTGACAAATCGATAAGTTTTTACCGGTTCCAAAGAATCTGTATAGCTCATGTTTTTTCTTAGTTCATTTATGATCTCGGGTTCGTTCAGATGTTTTTAGGCGCTGGCAAAAGACAGGCGAAAGATACCAAAAGAATATTCAAAATCATTAGTCGAGGAACTGGCACTGCCCTTGCACAAACGAAAAACAACCACAATCTACGAAACACAACATAGGAAACTAAAGACTTGGCAAAACGAACCCCTCCAAAAAGGTGTGATTTCAGGTGCTCAGGAAGGGTAAACAGAAGATGACCATGAAAACGTTATGTGTTGTGTTTGATTTCAATGATATTAAGAAATTAAAAAAGAAATCAATTATACAGCTGTGTTTTATGATTGATTGATTTTTGTTTTATTTTCAGGCAAGAACCAACGAATCGCATTGATTGTATGAAATTCCCTGACTTGAAATTTGATCTTTATTAGCAAATAATGATTACTCTGAAGAGCAAAATGTATGTCACTAATCCACATGTTTCATTGTTATGTTATGTTATGTTGATATGAGTTTGTTATTTTTTTCGTTTCTTTTTATGTTTTCAAATTATTGGAGGAATCTAACTTTAGTAGTTAGGTTCAAAGAAAAGGACGGTGGATTAATGAAGACGACAATGGCACCATTAACCCAATTGAACAAAATATCTTTTACTATTGTCTACTCATGCTACGAAGCTATCGGTAAATAAAAATTGGGGGAAAATATATCGTTTCAGTTATTACGTTTATGTATGCACAATTCTTATTTTCAACATTTTAATCGGTTGAAAATTAATGATTAAAGTATGATTCAAGCGCTTTAGGTTTTAAATGTGCCTTAATAACTAGTTCTCACCTAGCTTATAATTGCCAAACTGCACAACAAAAAAAGAAAAAGAATAGAAGCTAATAGATATCAGCTTTTTATCATATTTCCAGTTACCCTGGTTATGTTACATATAAAAAAACACATTACATTTTGCTAGATTTAGCATTAAATATTCGCTGCTGTCTGATTGGTTTAGAATTTATTAAGACTGATTATTGATAAACGTGAGTATAAGTAATAATGCTTGATTTTAATATATGAGGAAGAAAATTGATGGGGACAGAAACTAAACCTGTGACGTCATATGACTGAACACATCCGGTACATATACGATGAGACAAGGGTCAACACAAATCTATATATTATCAAGTTTGAGCTTTTTAAAAAGCTGTGGACTGCTTCGCTTTATCCTAATTTAAGGTAATACGTGTGCATGTGGTTGTTGATTTAGTATTGGAGATGTGGTATTTTTAGATATTGATTGATATAAAATGGATGTCTTAGACTTGAAATATCAATTTTTGTATATATATTAAGATGAACTTTTCTAAAATTTTTAAACTGGTTGTTCAGTGTTGTACGTTATACACCCATGCTTTTAAAAAAAATTTCGATTTACTTGTTGAAATTTAAAACATTTACAAAACACGACTCTGGAGGTGTGCTCTCTGGAGGTGTGCCCAGATTAGCAGAAATTATAAAATACAGATAATGCATTTTTGTAAACATTGTATAGGAACATTGTTTAGCTAAACAAATCGTGCATATAACAGATTAACAAAGCAAATAAACAGGTGTTAATACTGGTTCTCTGTAACTATTTAAACTCTTACATACGGAGATTGGCACGCATGGTCATGGATTTTCATCAAACTTCACACACTTACTATTCTTGATGAAACTAACAAAAAATGGCAAAAATTTGGTTGCTAAGCATAACGGTTGCCATAACAACCGATGACCAGTTTTACCTCATCTGGATACAGTACTTGCAACCTTAGGCGTTACTTTTTTAGCGATCAATCAGCGGTCATCGATCAGACACCGATCAGTCATGTTCGCGTCAAACTCACGTCACCAATCCATCAGACTTATAGTTAAAATATTTGACTGATCGGACGGATCGGACAGATTGACCTTTTTGACGGATTGAACTCTACTACGTCACATGATGAACTAATACAAATTATGGAATCTTAGTTTCGTTTCATTTAATTAAAATGGCGCCATTGAAAATACGAAACGTTCACTGAGTACAAAAGCTCAACATATTTTTTTTAATAATTATTTAGCAAAGTTTTAAGAGTTTTAAAAGGATAAGAAATATTCATATAAAACTAAATGTAAATATCATTATAAGAGAATGGTGATTTTCGTTTTTATTTAGGTTATATGTTTTCAAACCCGAAGAGTGCTAAAACGGTGTTTATCGCGATTGTTATTTTTTTTTATTTTTCGAAAATGCTCTTGAAAATGAAATGAAATAATCGTTTATTGCAAATTTCGGTGAATTATTTTCAATATATTTAATTTTTTTTGTCCTTATTATCTTAAAATTCTTATAAAAAAATTATCGTGAGGGCTTAAAAATACATGTAACTTATTATAAATAACATTGCTGGATTTTTTTCGAAAAAGAAGAAATATTGGTAGTTTGGTTTAAACATGCGAAAGACTTTTAGTATATTTCCTCTGATATTCATTTAATTTTGTGAAAAACAACCCATTATGATGCAAAAAATTCAAGAAATTCCAATGTTGGTCAATAATTTCCATTAAAATGAATAAATGATTGCATTCTTATTCAACAAAAACAAAAGTGTACATTTATGTATATTTATCCTGAAGTTATTCACACTAAATACAAAATTACTTATCTAAAGTCATTTAAAATGACTAATTGAAATTGACGCTGCATAATTTCTGATTTAAAGAAGAAATTTTGCATTTTTAAGCAACGCGTACACATATTTAGTATCTTTTCCCTCAAATTAAGCATATTTTTATGAAAAACAACCAATCCTGACGTACAAAAAGTACAGAAATCAAATGGCAGTTCACAATATCTTTCAAAATAAAGAAATTATTGCATTCGTATTACTTATCTAAAGTCATTTATAATGACTGATTGAAATTGACGTTGCATTATTTCTGTTATAAAAGAAGAAATATTTGCATTTTTAAGGAACGCGAACACAAATTTAGTATCTTTCCCTGAAATTCTGCATAATTTTTGAAAAAACAACCAATCCTGATGTACAAAGATTACTGAAATCAAATGGCGGTTCATAATTTCCATCAAAATAAAGAAATGTTTCCATTCATATTAAACACAAACAAAATTTTAGGTATTTTTTCTTTATATTTTTTTTAAATTCTCATAAAAAAATCTCATCTTGAGGCCTTTGAAAAAACTAGATACCAAAAAAATTGCATCATTTTTTATCAAAAGAAGAAAACTGGTAATTTTAAACAATGCGAACAACATTTCAGCATATTTTCTCTGATATTCTTTTAATTTTATGCAAAATAACCAATCCTAAACTATAAAAAGTACAAAACTCCAATGGCGGTCAATGATTTCCATTGAATTGAAGAAATGATTGCATTCTTATTCAACAAAAACAAAAGTTTATGCAAATGTATCCTTCAATTATTCACATTTTATAAAAAATTACTCATCTAAAGTCATTTATAATGACTGATTGCAATTGACGTTGCATTATTTCTGATATATGAGAAGAAATATTTGCATTTTTAAGCAATGCGTACAAAAATTTAGTATCTTTTCCCTGAAATTCAACATATTTTATGAAAAACAACCAATCCTGATGATCTATGATTTTAAGCTGAAAAAGGCTATTTTCGACATAATTTTTCATAATATAAAATTAAGAGAAAGAATATTTTTTATGACTTTATCAAATATATGCATTTTAATAATGTAATTTAATAACTGATATTTTCATATTCATTTTTAATCATAATCACATATACCCCCGTTTTTATGTGGTTTGCATTAGGTAAAAAATACCCTTTTGAGGTCATTTTTGAATGCTCACCATAATTTTTTGCGGACACCTGAGTTAAAGTCAACTATTAATTCATAAATATCATAGTCTTATCTTATCAATGATGTGAAAAAGTAATGGGGAATTATGTCTCGTTATTTTGTTACCATGGATACAAAATGCTTAGTTTTCATTTTTCAGAAAAAAAAAATTTTGAAAAATTTTGAAAAAAAATGTTTTAAAACCTAATACTGCATTCAGAAAAAAAATAAACAAATATACAATATGTAGAAATTATTGTAATCATAAAAATTTTAAACATATTCAGACATAACGGTATTATAGTTTTAACTGTGTTGCTATGGACACAATTTCATGATGATACACAAGTTTAAAACAATTTTGAAAACGTTTCAGTTAGTTTCTTAAATGTGCACAAAAGTAGGAAAACTAAAACGCTTATTAAGTTTCACTGTATACACACATGTGTATATATAAATAATTTTGTTAGTATAGTATATCGATAATGGTGTTACCACTTGAAGGAAATCGGGATCCATTGGACAAGGACAGAAATTTCAATAGGTCAACTAGGGAGCCCCTAAAATAATTAACACAAGGGTTCTTTAGCAAACAAAGGGCATAACCAGCAAGGGCGGGTACGGTCGGCCGTCGACCCGATGGTTCCTGCTATCCATCCGACTCATTTCTTGTTTGCCGTTCTGTCCGGGGAGGAATTTTCGAGATTTTCCAAAAAGTTCGATTTCCCTACAAGGAGCCGCGGAAAATCTGTCAGCGGGTGGCTGCGGGTCTTACAACGAGCAGCGGGGGAAAATATACCATCTAGACAATTTTCATATAAGGGGTCCCACTGACTGCCTTAAGAGATGCTTCATGCTTCAGTAACTCCATATGTAATCAAACAAATGTTTCCAATGAAAAGAGGGGGGCGGCCCTCAGTGCCCCTGGATCCGCTTATGGTAGCACTATCTTAACATTAGTAATAGGCATTGGATTAATGAAATTTAAGAAAATAACAATAATCTTTATGTATTGTTAGCAGCAAATTAAAAAATATTGACAATATGATAACTCTTTACATAGGGAAAACTTTTAAAGAAATATATACATGTACATATAATTTGATTTTCACTGAAGCCCATTACAGAAAGATGTTTCTCAAAATTAGTATATTGTCTTTCTTTTAACAAAACAAAAAAATAAGATTTTACTTTGAAACAGGACTCAATGTTTATTACATATTATACATGTGACTTTTTGTCTGTGACTTTCTGTCCTACATTCTGACCGTTATCATGAACAGGAAAAATGATTTTATACCTATTTATATGTAATAGGCTTTGCATCAAATTTATTGAAACACTTAGATCATTGAACCATTAATTTTATAAAATAAGAAAATAGAAAATGCTTTCAATAGGATCTACATATCAGCCAATTTTCGGAAAGATCGGTGACTATGTGTGCCGAAAAAGTTAAAGTGGTTACAGAGAATGAGTATTAAAAAATTGATATTTCAATATTGAATTTCAGTGTGCAATATTTGCATAATAAAACGAACATGAATTAATAACACTTGGTCGGAACTGAAATACACATAGTTAATTTTCCAGCATTTGATGTCTTATCCTGAGACGAGAAAAGTCTGTAATTATTTATCTCATTTAAGCCAATAGCTGTTGCTGTATCTCAGCCGAATCATAAAGCAACCAATCAGATTCTTTATGTGATAAGTAATTATTTCAAGATGGCGTGTATATCGACTGAAACTAATAGCTCCGCATCGTGATGCAAAGCAAACAGCTGTTCTCTTCTTCTTGTCGACTTGTTCCTTGAGGCAGACTTCATTCATGAGATTCTCAGGAAGAATATATAGAAGCTAGTATTATCCTTTAACTTCAAGTTCCGCTATATTGATGATATCTTCCATCAAATTTTGTGACTGTGCTGAACAAATATGCCCCATCAAACTTGAAATAAAAGAAAATACGAAAACAGTTACGTCAGCCTCATATCTCGACTTACATATTATTAGTTACATAGTGTGCTAGTGACCTAATACGGTATATATGGGGTCAGTAAATTCCATATGGGTTGAGAGCGAAGCTCGAATCCCCATATGGAATTTACTGACCCCATATATACCGTATTACGTCACTAGCACACTATGTAACGAATTTATCTTACCGACTATCTTAACATGTGAAATTTAGACTAGTGACCTATTAGAATGAGCAAGTCTCCAATACTGTTAGCATTTAGATACTATTTTTATTGATCCTACAAAAACAGATGCCAATAATAACAACGTGTTAGGTTTAAATGTGTTTGTGAATTTATTTCAGTCTTAATCATCAATTTCTTCGCCTGTTGAAACCTTTCAGATTTGTTCACAGTACCGTTTTGTTTTTATAAAGGGACGCAACACCACTACTGACCGTGTATGAAATAAGCCCCGCCTCCCTTCTAACCTAATATGGAATATAAAGGGACGTAACTCCACTACTAACCGTGTATGAAATAAGTCCCGCCTACCTTCTAACCTAATATGGAATATAAAGGGACGTAACTCCACTACTAACCGTGTATGAAATAAGCCCCGCCTCCCTACTAACCTAATATGAAATATATACGGTCTCCACGCGGACGCTTTTAACCAATCATATTCCTAGAAATGTATAGGAGGTAAGATAAACACACGTACCATAAGGGTCTTTTGAGAACAAAACTCTACGACAAAAGAGATGATTTCAGAAAAAAGAGAGGCGAAACTCAACGTAGAAAACTAAAGACTAAGCAACACGAACCCCACCAAAATCCGGGGGTTTCAATTGTAAACTTTCCATTTTCATGTAGCAACATTCTAGCAGAGTTTTCCCGTTGGCTGATAAAATCAAGCGTGTGATTTTGCAAGTTTTATCGGTTTCCCCTTTTTGAATGTATCTTGAAGTTCAGTATTTTTGTTATTACATTATTTCATATGCAAGATACATCTCCATATTGATACAGTATTCCCCAGCTTGCGTTTCCTATCATGATTTCTTTAATAGAAGGTTGCAACTAACATAAGTTGGTTGAGCGTAATAGAATACCTGAATAACAGATGATCACGGATATGCTCCTAGTGTAGTCATTTTTACGACAACGGTGACAAGGGACAGTGATAATCAAAACCCGTAAGTCGAACAGGCCCTCCTAAAATAAATCATGCATTTCCTCCATTCAAAAACTGCTAAAATATAAATGCTGATGTACATTTGATTTTTTTAAAATAAAAACAAAATCCTTTTCAAATGATGCAAGGTTTTATGAATTATTATTAATATAGATTTTTTTACGTCTTCCAATAATTAAGATTTAACCTTGGCAATTCGTCACAACGTATTCTTTTGACCGGAGGTTTTCTGAAATAATAAAATCATGTCATTACTTCAAATTTGCTAGAATACTCATTCCATGCATTTACATGTAGAAACATTTGAGTTGTGTATTTTTAGATACGATAAGATGCCCGTAATAAAATAAATATTTATGTGATATATTTATAGTTCTGTATACAGCTGCTAGCAAACGAAACCACCAAAACAAAGACATCTTGCCGAAGACTGTTTTTGTCCTCTAATTCGTGTCGTTTCTTTCTTACTCATTGATGTCTGCTTCATATCGCCCATTTTCATATTGGAACATTTAAAACACGATTTTTTAGACATCAGAGGGAGAAAATAATTCATGTGGTTTTTAAGGGCTTTATGATATGATTTGTCATATTGTAGACTACTTTATCTCTCACAATAAATCTCTTTATCTGGCTGGATATACTTACTGACTATCCGGATTTATGAAAATATTTGGCTGTATATACTCCAGGCTTAATGTCCGACAATAAATTCCCGCAAAAGTCTGTCGCTTTATCTCATTCAATTGATCTAAATTAAAAGATAATTTCACACAATCAATAGTGTTTTTTTCTCAACTTGATGTTCCAAATCTATAGATAGTCAATAAGACGAAATATACCAAAGGAATTAGTCAAGAACTGACAATGCCATGGTAAAATCGAAACCGGCCAAAAGACAAATAACAGTATACAAAACATAACATAGAAAACTAAAGACTGAATAAATTTTAGTAATTAATCTTTGGTTACAACCCCTTTCAGTCTACAAACTGAACTCATCTGATTTGAGGTTTTCCATTTGTGCTTTTTTTGTGGAGATCCTATCATCCTATGCTTTTCTTATAGATTATCGACGGTATTTCAAACGGGAGGGTGTTTCTCAGCTACTATCTTATCGAAGGGCGACAGATGAGATGTAGCCAAGAAAATCATCGAGTTTGAAAGACCATTGGTATATAAAAATAAGGAGATGTGGTATGATTGCCACTGAGACAACTATCCACCAAAGTTCAAATGTAGTTGATGTATACAATTATAGGCAACCGTACGACCTTCAACAATGAGAATTACCCATACCGTATAGTCGGCTATATAATCTGTTATCGCTATTTTGCCTTATTTTCTATTTTCTATTTTATATTATGAGGCTGACTTCATACAGCAACTTCTTAAGAAGAAAGATAAGAAGTTAGCAATATCCTTTAACTCTACGTTCCGCTATATAGATGATGTTCTCTCACTAAATAATACAAAATTTGGTTACTATGTTGAACGAATCTATCCCATCGAACTAGAGATAAAGGATACTACAGATACAGTTAAGTCTGCCTCATATCTTGACTTACATCTAGAAATTGACAATGAGGGTCGGTTGAAAACAAAACTTTACGACAAAAGAGATGATTTCAGCTTCCCAATTGTGAACTTTCCATTTCTATCTAGCAACATGCCAGCAGTGCCTGCATACGGAGTATATATCTCCCAATTGATACGATATTCCCGGCGTGTGTTTCCTATCGTGATTTCCTTGATAGAGGATTGCTGCTCACAAGGAAGCTATTAAACCAAGAGTTCCAAATGGTGAAGTTGAAGTCATCCCTTCGTAAATTTTACGGACGCCATCAGGAGTTGGTTGACCGTTATGGAATAACCGTTTCACAGATGATATCGGATATGTTCCTTATGTCGTAACTATAATACCCTCCCTTTTCACGAATGTACTTACCGAATTAGACTATTTACCGGATTTGTAATAACATAAGCAACACGACGGGTGCCACATGTGGAGCAGGATCTGCTTACCCTTCCGGAGCACCTGAGATCACCCCCAGTTTTTGTTAGGGTTCGTGTTGCTTAGTCTTTGGTTTTCTATGTTGTGTCATCTGTACTATTATTTGTCTGTTTGTCTTTTTTTTTTGGCCATGGCGTTGTCAGTTAGTTTTCGATCTATGAGTTTGACTGTCCCTCTTGTATCTTTCGTCCCTCTTTTCTAGCAATAACTGTCTATCTCAAGCGAGTAGCATGATATGCAAAAAGTATCAAAAAAAAATCAGAAGGAAAAATACACCAAATAGCGAAAACAAATGTTTATACGAGTTTGCTTTCCAAATTTGATGTCTCAAAAGTATATTGTTTATAGTGGACGTCATTCAAGTATGGCGTGTTGATAATGAACTAATATTTCAATGATTTGGTTCTAAGATCAGTGAAGGTTTTTCTAATAGTTGAGGTACTAAATGTAAATGACAAACAAATAAGAGAGACAACAGAAGTTAATCGATGATCGAAACCCGTGAGTTTCGAATATACACAACCAACTTATTCAACTGAAGGAATGGCATTTGAGACAACTCATGGTCATTATCTTACCTAGTGTAAACCCTGTCGCTGACAACTCATGGTCATTATCTTACCTAGTGTAAACCTGTCGCTGACAACTCATGGTCATTATCTTACCTAGTGTAAACCCTGTCGCTGACAACTCATGGTCATTATCTTACCTAGTGTAAACCCTGTAGCTGACAACTCATGGTCATTATCTTACCTAGTGTAAACCCTGTCGCTGACAACTCAAAGTCATTATCTTACCAAGGGTGAACCCTGTCGCTGTGAAATTATTTTCGTAAAAGAATCTGTCACCGTGTTTATAATTGAGGAACTGAAGAGCTATAAGGCATCTGAATGTTGGTCCTAGGATAGATTCTGCTGATGCAGGTTTTTCTGATAATCCACCAACAAATAAATCAATATCATCAGGATGACTACAAAATAAATTAAAATTGAATATAAACGTTCGAACAAAGTTAGCCAGTCTCCTGTGTTGTTATTCATGAGTCTTAAGGACTTGAACATATAAAATATATCCAAACGAAACTATAAATCGGTAATATTTTCAAAATTATTGTGCTTAAAAGGAAGCACATTCATCCCGATTAGCAAACAAGTCTCTTACAGTATAATAGCATTTTTCTTAAATTCTTACAGCCGTATTTTAAATAGATAACTACTTTCATTAACTGAACCCCCTCTGAAAACTTTGTTATAAAAATGCCAAAATATCTGTGCCTGTTGGAACAAATATCCTATAACATTTATTCAGTCAGGAACAAATACTGTAATATTTTTTCCAGTGGAAATTATGATACGTATTATATCCCTTTCATTTGGAACTTTTGATATTATATAAGAACTTTTATTCCACTGTTTAAAAATATTGATAGTTTAATCAATATTTGATTGGTTGAGACTATCCCACGTGTCATATTGAACAAATCTTCATAAGGTAATATGCCGAAGCTAAATTTTATTGTTATTTTTTGCAAAAGAGATTTAACATACCTGTATACTTCCGATAAAGCACGTGCAGTAGATTTATCATGATCAACCAGTCCACCATATGCATTACCAAAATGTTTTGCACGATACAAACCGCAGTATTCTCTGTATTCATTGTACCCAGCTATCCCATGATCACGTCCACGTTGTATATTGAGTGCACCAAGGTCAAATGCTTCTCCCGGTTGAACTTCAAACAGATGATTACGCATCTGGTCTGAAAGAAATCGATCTGTTTTGTCCCCTAGTGTTGCAGACATCCACCTACCCATACGCTTGACGCCAAATTTATTTTCGGGATCACGAATTGTTTTTACATCAAAGGATTCATTCTGCATTAAAGACCTACGAAGTTCCTTGAAATCGACACCTGATGCACCCACGTGGTTTCCTACTTGTGAATGTCCATATCGAAAGGCGGTGGCACCAAACTCATTGCATGTAGCTCCATCCAGATAAGGAGAATAAAAAGTTTGATGACCTTCAGGACTACTAGTTAGGCTAATGATGTTAGCATATTTTGGTCCAACCAGAGCGGTAACAAATTCATTAAACACAATGTGCTGGTAAACTCCTGTCAGAATTTTTCTAGTTTCTTGAAACACTTTCTCATCTTTCCATTCAGTGTTCAAAGCTGACAGTTCCTTTGCTATTCTGTTATGCTCCCTTACAAATATTATGTGAAACATCGCAAGCAATGGAACCTCAGAATGTCTTTTGTCACCTAAAATTAGTAATAATTCAATAATAAATAGAATAGATCCACATTGGATGTTATGATGCTGAAATAATAAAACTCAGTGTCCTTCTGCAGTTTTGGTTCTCAATGCGTTTCAACTTCATACTTTATATTGCCTTTTTTTCTTAATGCATCACCGAATCATTTGTAGACGAAACATGACTCTGTCGAACATAATTATAAGTTTTTTTATGTGGTTTTTTTTTCGAATGTGACTTTTTGATAACGTTTTGGAGTTACATTGCCCAATAAAATATGCATGTGCGTTGGCTGTTTATGGTTGATCAATACACAGCCACGTTCGACCGGATTCGGAAAGATACATCTGGTGACTCATACGCTCACTGAATCTTGTCGCTCAAAAAGTCTAGCACTCTGATGACATACTATTAGATGTATTTTTTGTTCGAATGAATGACGTTATTCGTGACATAAAACAAGAAATGTGTATCTACGATTTCCATTTCTGTAGAAAAGGCACTCTTTAATAAGACGATGTCGTATAGAGCTTAAAGAAATAAAAAAAATAGAATCACTACAACATTGTAATGTTTGATTGAAGATTTAAATGAATCCAGCAAGATACAAGATTTAGAACAAAAGACAAATTTCTAATGTTAACTGTGTTGTTTCGTTGCAATATACCCTACATCTTTTTTATTCTTTTCATATCAGACTTCCCATTTTAACCCTTATTCCAAGCTAAAATAGTTTGAAGTTCAATAACGACTAAACATGAACTAAAATATCAATATAAGAAGATGTGATATGATTGCCAATGTGACAACTCTCCAAAAGTGACCAAATGACGTAGAAGTTAACAACTACAGATCACCGTACGACCTTCAACAATGAGCAATACCCATACCAATAAGTAAGCTATAAATAAAATTTATACCAGCAATGAAACACTTCCGTTTACACTCTTCAGGAGCACCAGGTGGCGTGTTTGGAAGTAAATCATTATCTCCAACTGCTAGCTCACCTGTCAGATAAAAAGTAGTTTTTTTTTTATTACTAGTACTTGTTTGAGTAAATATATTAACATTCATGAATAATAAAAGTAGAATTAGTAGTGTATATGAATATTACTTATTTTTTTATTCTGATAGAGGAAATCAGCATTGCATTTATCTGGCTGATTGTTGCAAAGTAGTGTTGAAAAGTTAACCAAGCATGAACATCAGGTTTTGTCAAGAAAAAAACGTTCTCCGTTAATGCTTGTTGTTAGTGGCAAAACTGAATGTTTTGAATGAAGACATGGAATAAAAACTTTGGTCAACAGAATATTAAAGGATTTTTACCATTTGAATATTTCCGTAGCTGGTCCAATCTCTCTTTACTGCTACCATATACACTTGATAAATCTAGATATGATGTAATAACGTTCATTTGTTTTCTCGGGCCTAAAAAAATAAAAAGTTTTTTTTTTGTTTTTTTAAATATTGTACACATTCTTCTTGTAGATTTAGATTATTGTTATCCTCTTTTTTTCCTATTAAGCACAGTATTTTATATATTGTTCGAATCGTTTTCATTTATTTATATATTCTATTCTGTTAATAGGTACACGATTTTATAATGTTAATCAAAGTGTCTGGAATATAACAACTTTCCTACACCAATACACTCTGCCTTAAACATCGAAATCTCCAACTATCAAACAAAAACATTTCTGACATGATAAATACAAAACTTTAATTACTAAGAGGCAGAATTAGAAAAGGGGAGTTAACCCCTGTAATGTGATTATAATTCAGGAACTGTATAGTGAAATTTCAGATTTTTGTGCTCAGACTTAACACTCCTCCTTTGGATAATATTTTATAATCAAGTTTGAGTGAAATGCTTGAATTAAAACAATCATTCAAACTTGATAATAACATTTCTAAAATCTCAGCACGCGCATTTACAAAACTTCTGTTGATCACACAATTTTATAGCTTCTAGATAGAACTTAGATGTGTAGTATAATTTGATCAACTGATTTCTATTCGACGTCCAGTGGTAAATATTGCATGCATATTCAGAACATATAACCTGATAGTGCGATATTACAATGATTCCGATTTTGAACTTAACTGACACGCTGAGTCGGCTTTGTTAAGTTCTACCTCACACATAACACTCCATTATATGTCATCCTATACTTGAACACGTGTTTCTGATCCCCAATTAGAGCCAACAAATGTTTGATTCCTCTCCTTAATGTTGCATGTTTGAAACAAAATCATCAAACACTAATTCAAAAAGTTAAGAGGTAACGTAAAAGGGACAAACATTCGTCACTTTCCTCAAAGTGGAAATCATCGAAGTAAACGCGGTATTTAGATACAACCGAGAAGAGAACGTAACTTGGGGACCAGCAAGACGAGGATCCTAGATCCGGACCAACGAGGCTGGCACGCTACTCCGATACCAACAAGGCGGGCACGCTACTCTGAGACCGACGAGGCGAGCACGCTACTTCGTGACCACCGAAGAAAGCACGCTTCTGCGAGACCACTGAAGAGAGCACGGTACTTTGAGACCACCGAGGCGAGAACACTATGTCCAGATCAACGAGACCAGAACGCTTCTTGAGAACCACCGAAAAAGATCTGAAGATCACTGAGGCGAGAATGGTACTCCAAGACCACTAAGGTTAGCACTCATCGTCAAGGGAATCGAGGCAAGCACACTTATTAAAGACAACCAAAGCAAACAAGCTATAATTAAACGATCGACCGAGTTGGTGTTAGACTGGTAAAAAAATGAAGAAGTGACATCTATTGTCATTTATACATACCAGGATAGCATCCAGGTGACGAGGCAGGCAGTGAGCGAACGAAATGCATGCACGAGAACTTAAACTCATCTTTTGGTGTAGAAAATGAAAAACATTCATGCCTACAAACGAAAACAGAATATGATACCATTTCTTCTTCCTTGATTAAAGGGGCATTAGCTACGACATATAAAAAAACAAAATATTATTTTGTTTTATTCAATCATTAATTCAAATGAAATAGTGAAATAACAATTCGCTTTTAACAGGCAGTATAGTTCAATTTTATTAAAATAAGCTAAGAAACATCGCTGATGAATTATTCACTTGCAAGTGAATAATCGACCTCATTCAATTTAACCCCATAGCTAGAGATTGGTTACGCATGTATTAGGAGTGTTCAGTCATTTAAAGGAAAAGAATGTCAACATTGAAAAAAAAGGTTAAGCATTTCGTTGACTGATGCGATTCACAAAAGATCATTCTTATACAGGTAAAAACGATGATTAACTTATTTTTTAACTATAATATGCAATCAAACAGATCAAGAAAAATCCAATTGCATGAAGTCGCAATCTATGTCTTGTTTGTGTTTATTTCGGGTTATGTGACCGTCGGCAGTCTTCGGAGGTCATCTCAATGGTTAATTAGATGGCCTCTAGACTAAAATACACACGACAATGTTGATATATATTACTGAGTCCACGCATTGTTAATTGTTTATTTCAGACTTATTATAATTTGGATATACGATTAAGTATGTTATAAACCAAATATGAGAATTTGAGTCAAATTGGTGAACATGAATTTGACAGCTTATGCCCCTTTAACATACTAATTTTTCATCCAATTTTGTATTGAAATTCCAATTAAATTAACAATTACCTAATTAATTAGAAACATGAATTGATGATGACGAGAAAGGCAATCAAATCATTGGTAGATATCATTATTCGGTCCACAAAACTTTAAAACTGACCTAAAGTTCCATGTTGTATTTAATGACATTTTGTATTTTCATAGATATCTTGCAAAGTTGCGGTATTCAATAAATATTTTGATCTCTTTGATTCTTCTTTAAAAATGAAAGCTACGATTCGTGCTTATGAGATAGATGTGATTGATAAAAAGTACCTGTTAACTGGTGTGTTTCCGTTACAACAAGAAATACTTGTACCATCTGACTCTAAAACAAAATCAAATTATTACAAGGATCAGTAACAGATTCTACTGATTTTTACAGTTTTTTCTTATGCTGTACTATAACACCACTACCCCAGGTTAGGGGACAGTTTGGAAACAGCAAACATGTTTAACCCCGCCAGATTCTGTATGTGCCTGTCTCAAGTCAGGAGCCGGTATATGTAATTCGGTGGTTAACATTTGTTCCTGTATAAAAATTATGATATGTGTTTTTCGTTTATTGTTTAATGCATGTACATAAATCAGGCCATTACTTTGCTCGGTTGTTTTACATTAGTCATTTCGGGGCTTTTTATAAATTACTTTGCGGTATGAGTTTCGCTCATTGTTGAAGACCGCACAGTGACCTTTATTTGTTACCTTTTACTTCATTTGGTCTCTGGTAAGGTTTTGTTTCACTGGCAATCATACACATTTTCTTATATTTATGTTAAAAAAGGGCATTCCACATCTTCTTATTTTTATAATCCAAGTTGCTCTGCCGACACGAATTTCTTGATACATCGTCATAGGATTTGTTCACAATCAAATCAGTATTAGTCATATTTTTTTCTAATAACGGATAAAGAACTTTTTGAATTCAGTGTTTTTTGCAAAATAAGTTCGAAGCAGTTTCATTCTCAAAACAAAATCTCAAAACATATGCAGAGATGAAAATTACAACACATCAAAGGATAACGAATCTTTTATATGGAAAAGTCATTAATGAGAGCATTTGTTTATCAGAGATCGTTGATCCTTATCATTAAGAATATGTTGCATATAAGATATGATTTCACAAACATATCAGGTGATTTGAGTTATTTTATGTGAGTAACATATTGAAAAAAAAACAATTGCTTCGATTTTTTTCTATCATACTAGCTGTTTTTGAAATACAGTTTTGTTTTCTCAAGATAAATATGTCTAAAGGAAACCTGTAAATATTGGCGTTGCTACAATATCATGATCAACAAATTGTCCAAAGTGTGTCAAGGCCACTGTAAATCTGTTGCTTTGAGGTGCAGATTGTTCACTTTTCAACACAGCATTAGAGATCACCCGGGGACTTTTTAAATCGTCTCCATTCTTCCCTTTTATGCGTGGAACTGAACCCAAATTATTGGCTGTAAATATAAGTTTATATCCGCATAAACAGTTGAATGGCAGTGATTATATAAAAATAAATAAAAGTCAGCAGAGGTTTGAAACAGTGGTTTTAATCAAAGACAACAATGTATGTTACATTTTATTTAACTGAAGATAGTGCTTTAAAAGGGAATGCAAACTGATACTGATCTTTCTTCATTTAAAATTTGAAGCAGTATATTCGAAGAAAAAGGAATAATATGTAGACATTTTTAATATTTCAACAGAGAAAAGGAAATATAGATAAAAGAAAGTGAAGCAAGGAACACATTTTATTCAAATTTAACACAAACTTACGGTCCCCATATGTTGGTTCCAAAAACCTGGATTGTGGAGTAAAAGCTGCACCCTGAAGTTTGTTCTCTAGGTTATTACATGTTGCGTCTATGTTCCGATAGGGGGCGTCTTTATCACAGGAAATTTGTTCTCGCTGATCACAAAATGACTCGACCGCTTTTTCGACTAGATCATAAATAGCTGTTGGTTGTACTGCAGGTGCCCGCATTGTCCGTAAACTACAATAACAAATAAATTCCAATTTCTTTGCATCATGTAAGCATTTCGACAGTGATGTTCGATAACAAACTATCTAAAAAACCCAACCCAAACATACAATTTACCAATATGGTATATATACAATAAAACTGATTCAACTGTTAAAGCTGACTGAAAATGAAAAAAAAGACTGAAGTTTTTCAAATGGTTTTGGTGAGAAAACTTGTTACTTGTACTGTATACAAGTCAGGGGCCTGTATTTCAGAGGTGATCGTTTGTGCATGTCTGTCATATTTGTTTTTCGGAAATTGTATTGTCTAAAATATGTCTTATTTACCTCGTTGGATTTGTTTTACATTTTTTATGTCGGCGCCTTTTATAGATGACTACATGTATGCGGTACGGGTTTTTCTCTTGTTGAAGGCCGCACGGTGACATATAATTGCTTTTATCATCGTAATTTAAACTATAGTGAATAACAATTGTTGTCTCATTGGTAATCATACCACATTTTTATATGTATGATTTTAGCAACTTTATAATCCCATTAATGCATATTTATTATGTGATTGTCAATGAGACAGCTATCGACAAATTGCAGAGGACGCTGATGTTAAAGACTAACGGTAACGGTACTCGTTAAAAACCAGCAAAATCATATCGTGCATAAGCTATAAAAGTTCCTGGAGTAGCAATATGTAAAACAAAAAAGCAAATGGCCTGATTTGTGCTAAAATAAAATACGAGAAACATATACGATAGACAGCAGGCAACGACAAGCACCGAATGATAGACTTGGGACTTGGGACAGGCACCGAATGATAGACTTATGCCTTGGGACAGGCACCGAATGATAGACACATGACTTGGGACAGGCACTGAATGATAGACTTATGACTTGGGACAGGCACCGAATGATAGACTTATGACTTGGGACAGGCACCGAATGATAGACTTATGACTTGGGACAGACACCGAATGATAGACTCATGACTTAGGACAAGCACCGAATGATAGACTCATGACTTGGGACAGGCACCGAACTTAGACTTATGACTTGGGACAGGCACCGAATGATAGACTTATGACTTGGGACAAGCACCGAATGATAGACTCATGACTTGGGACAGGCACCAAATGATATACTCATGACTTGGGACAGGCACCGAATGATAGACTGATGACTTGGGACAGGCACCGAATGAAAGACTCATGACTTGGGACAGGCACCGAATGATAGACTTATGACTTGGGACAGGCACCCAATGATAGACTTATGACTTGGGACAGGCACCCAATGATAGACTCATGACTTGGGACAGGCACCCAATGATAGACTTATGACTTGGGACAGGCACCCAATGATAGACTCATGACTTGGGACAGGCACCGATTGATAGACTCATGACTTGGGACAGGCACCGAATGATAGACTCATGACTTAGGACAGGCACCCAATGATAGACTTATGACTTGGGACAGGCACCCAATGATAGACTCATGACTTGGGACAGGCACCGAATGATAGACTTATGACAGGCACCAAATGATAGACTCATGACTTGGGACAGACACCGAATGATAGACTCATGACTTGGGACAGGCACCGAATGAAAGACTCATGACTTGGGACAGGCACCGAATGATAGACTTATGACTTGGGACAGGCACCGAATGATAGACTCATGACTTGGGACAGGCACCGAAAGAAAGACTCATGACTTGGGACAGGCACCGAATGATAGACTTATGACTTGGGACAGGCACCAAATGATAGACTAATGACTTGGGACAGACACCGAATGATAGACTCATGACTTGGGACAGGCACTGATTGATAGACTCATGACTTGGGACAGGCACCGAACTTAGACTTATGACTTGGGACAGGCACCAAATGATAGACTCATGACTTGGGACAGGCACCGAATGATAGACTTGGGACAGGCACCGAATGATAGATTTATGACTTGGGACAGGCACCAAATGATAGACTCATGACTTGGGACAGGCACCGAATGATAGACTCATGACTTGGGACAGGCACCGAATGATAGACTTGGGATAAGCACCGAATGATAGACATATGACGTGGGACAGGCACCGAATGATAGACTCGTGACTTGGGACAGGCACCGAATAATAGGCTCATGACTTGGGACAGGCACCAAATGATAGACTTATGACTTGGGACAGGCACCGAATTATAGCTTTAGGACAGACACCGAATGATAGACTCATGACTTGGGACAGGCACCGAATGATAGACTCATGACTTGGGACAGGCACCGAATGATAGACTTGGAACTTGGGACAGGCACCGAATGATAGACTCATGACTTGGGACAGGCACTGAATGATAGACTCATGACTTGGGACAGGCACCGAATGATAGACTCATGACTTGGGACAGGCACCGAATGATAGATTTGGGACAGGCACCAAATGATAGACTCATGACTTGGGACAGGCACCGAATGATAGATTTGGGACAGGCACCAAATGATAGACTCATGACTTGGGACAGGCACCGAATGATAGACTTGGGACAGGCACCGAATGATAGATTTATGACTTGGGACAGGCACCAAATGATAGACTCATGACTTGGGACAGGCACCGAATGATAGACTCATGACTTGGGACAGGCACCGAATGATAGACTCATGACTTGGGACAGGCACCGAATGATAGACTTGGGACAAGCACCGAATGATAGACTTATGACTTGGGACAGGCACCGAATGATAGACTCATGACTTGGGACAGGCACCGAATGATAGGCTCATGACTTGGGACAGGCACCAAATGATAGACTTATGACTTGAGACAGGCACCGAATGATAGACTTGGGACAGGCACCGAATGATAGACTCATGACTTGGGACAGGCACCGAATGATAGACTCATGACTTGGGACAGGCACCGAATGATAGACTTGGTACTTGGGACACGCACCGAATGATAGACTTATGACTTTGGACAGGCACCAAATGATAGACTCACGACTTGGGACAAGCACCGAGTGATAGACTTGGGACTTGGGACAAGCACCGAATGAAAGACTTGGGACTTGGGACAGGCACATACAGAATGGAGCGGGTGTTTTTATGATGGTTTTCTTTAATATTGCGTCCCTTCACTAGAGGTGTTTGGTGTTAATGGCGTTTGTGATCTTTTGTACTGTCATATACTTTTTTTTGTAATTTCGGTTTTTCTTTGAAGTATTGACTGTAATGTGCATTTCAGCGTGGGCCAAGGCTCCGTGTTGAAGGCCGTACTTTGACCTATAACTGTTAACTTTTTATACATTTTGACTTGGATGGAGAGTTGTCTCATTGGCACTCATACCACATCTTCTTATTTATATCATATTGTATTTGCAGTTTACATTTCAAATTACATGAGACATTTAACATAGGTCACCATTACCGTTGATTCACAGAGGAGACAGCTTTTTCGGTAATTAGCACCACTCTAGATGACATTCTTAGTTGTTGTTGGTTCTGCGATGAACTGAACAAGTTTAACAAATCTATTGACGATCTTGTACTTTGTGGTCCCCTTCTGCCTATTTCTAAGATAAGAAAGCTAATAACAGTACTGTAGTTGATTTATGAGCAAGTTTAACTTAATTAATTGTCAAGTTAGTCATGCAATTATAATGAGTGGTTTTGAAGTGATTTTTAGTGTTGTGCTCAAGGTAACAGTAACTTGGCCATGTATACTTTTGTTTTACAGTTAGACCATTATACGTCAGAGGATTTATAAATGTTTGATGTCTAAGGGTTTTGTACCCAATCACTGGGTAGGACTTGAGAGTTCATTTTAAAGGAGTAACATGTTTGATATCATTTTAGCAGGATATATTGCATTGTCGGATCATCCAGTTTATGACGGGAAGCGGTCTTCTCAAACATTATTGTGTATTGTTTTGTTGACTGTTTTTTGTCTTTTCATAATTTTCTATTTGTCTATTTTTCTTCGACTTGTAGTTATTAATTACTTTCTTGGTAGTTCCTTCCCCGTTTGTGAGGGTGAAATAATCTTACAAAGATATAAACAATCTTCTGTATACTTGGCTCTCACAGAGATTGGGAACCAAGAAGAGACTGCTTCTTTTTGACACATGATATGTAAGTATTTTGATATCTATTGTGTACCACATGCGATTAGTAAATTGAAGGAATAATTGAAATGTCTCAGTATTTTTCACACTCATGGTGTATTAAATATAATGGCAAACATGTGGAAAAGATAAACTGTTAATTTTGGTTTCATTTGTACGTTTCGGAGTTTAGTGTGGCGTCCATTTTGCTAAACTAATATACATTATTAACTAGGGGTCAGCTGAAGCCCGCCTTCTGGTGCGGTATTTTCTCGCTGCGTTGAAGACCGATTGGTGGCCTGGGGCATTTTTCGGCTCTTTGGTCTGTTGATGTCACATTCCTTGTTCCATTCTCTATGATATGTATAATCATTAATCCGTCAATTATTACATAAACAATTTAATCATAATATAAATTGTAAAATATGCTACACTTACGTGGTGTCCTTTGATTGGTTGTGTTCGGAATGCTGTTTGCTGCTGATGTGACCGCTTCATTTACAAGCGTTTTAACTATTGATTGAGTATTTCCATGGTGACATAAAAGTAGAAGAGACAGTACAGACAGACACTTTACGTTCTCCACCATCATGTTGGATTTCTTCAAGAATTTAAAGTGACGAATGTTAACACTGAAAAAGTCAGGAGATAGTTTACATTGTTGTGTCTTTCAACCCTCGGCTTCGCTTCGTTTTTTACAGCTTCATAGAATATGACAAATTTGACTTATCTAAATATGTGTATTTTTCCAAAGAAGAACAAAAGTATTGTATTAAGTTTACTTGACTTTTATAAGGTAAACGCATCACATATAGAAAGAACATACAAATAATTCATGATGTTTTGGTCATCTAGGTAAACAAGTAGTTATGACTAATACCACACCTTCTGTGTATGGTGTCTCTGTAGTGTCCAAGAAGAAAATATACTTTTTGTGGGCGCAGCAAGTATGTAATTGTTCTTTAAATTTGTCACCACCTATTGTTCATCTGCCAGCTAAAATAAGACTTTATATTTGTTTTATTGGATAATGGCAGACGACATTTGCTAAGAAACCAAGTAAATAGATTCATCATAAATACAAGGACTAAAATTGTGTTAGCCAGATCCGCGTTTCGACTGCAGAAGACTCATCAGTGACGCTCGGATAAATAGAGGGAAATAAACAGTCCAAATAAAGTAAAAAGTTGAAGAACACTGATGACTCTTATCGATCAATCGACAGTACTTGAATCCGCTACTCTCCTGAAGGGACGGAATCGGCAAGGTAACGACGAGTGTCACATTGATATGAAAATATAGAGAAATGGTATGTTTGAAAACAAGACAATTACCCCTTAAATAATTACAACAACAGGTCACAAGCCATCAAGAAGGACAAAACACATACCTTATAGTATGCTATTAAAGTCCCTGAGATGTAAAGACAAAATGTGAAACAAATTGAAATCAAAAGATAAAACCCACATCCTTATTTATGCTAAAACAAAAGAAACGAGTTCAATACTCACAAACCGATGTTATTTAGCCATTTTTCCCCATGCCAGTTTTTCCCCATGTGAAAAATTGGCATGATCTCATTTTTCCCCCGGGGAAATTTTGGATTATTGCAATTCTTCCCTCCGCGGGAAATTGACAATACGTATACGTGTAGCCACTTTTCCCCCATATATTTTTCGTATTTTCTTAATAAATGATTGATTCCTGGAATGCTAAAATACTATGTTTTTCGTCTTGGGTTGCTATGAAGAAATGTTGGGTTCTAAATGTGTTCGTTTTGTTGAAACGCGTGCAACTAGAAAGGTCTGGGGTCATGGAATGTTTGAGCACCTATATTCTGAAACAACTAGAGGTGCATTCGAAAAAAAAATATTCATTTATTGACTCTGTTCACAAATTCGAATTTATTCGTATGGCTTACATGAAAATGTGTTTCTATCCATAATTACTGTGGATAAAAAATGCTACTGTAAAATTCTGAGATTAACACGTTCATCACACGAATGAATCTATTTAATATTCATTAAGATATTTTGACCAGTTGATACATTGTTTAATAAAATTGCCAACCATTGATATTATTAGTGAATTTTTCCATCCATTCATACATGTATATTCTGAAAAACTTACATCGGTATAAAACTTATTAGGGCCCCGCCTAGTGGCGGGTCGCCATATAGTGACCAGTCTGTCCGTCCGTCAGTCTGTCCGTCCGTCCATCCGTCCGTAACTAATTGTGTCCGTTCTATATCTAGAGAATCGTTATAATTTTATACCTTATACTTGACATGTATATTCATCAATTATTGACTTTTGACGAGTTCAATACGTAATATATGGACCTGTTCAGATTATATTGACCGAGGACGAAGTCCGAGTGTCAATATAATCTAACAGGTCCATATATAACGTATTGACTGAGTGAAAGTCTTTAATTTATATATTACATATGTAAATTATGTATTAGGAAAATGGACTTCAATGTTCTTTCTGTGTATTTTTAAATATTATTTTGCAAGATTTTTAACATGCTATTGAAAATATCAATAAATAAGATTAACTTGTTTTATAGTAATCAAAAACACAACATCCTTTTTTTCTGTTTAAAACAAATAAGAATTCAAATGGAACTCATTTCAGTCTACTTGCAAATTTTCTTTTCGTACTCTGCGGCGCTTCCGCCAGGCTTCAGATACATGAAATATTGTTTGAAACACGTGATTGTAATATCCAATGAAAACAGGAGAATGCTACACCATATGTAATATTAACCAATGTTTGTACAACTCCCTAGGTCAAAGGTCAAGGTCAAAAAATTTGCTTTCAGTTGACAACCCCATGTCCTATGGTAAAGATCGTGGCATGTACATTAACCAACACCAGAGGATGTGTCAAACTGTATGTACAACTTCTTTGATTAAAGGTCAAGGTCAAAAACTTTGGTTTCAGTTGACAACCCCATGTCCTATGGTACAGATCATGTCCGCTCTATATCTTGAGAACAGTTATGATTTCACTTGACGTGTATATTAACCAACACTTGAGGGTGTTTCATAATGTATGTACAACTTCCTAGGTCAAAGGTCCGTCCGTCTGTCTGTCGGTCCGTCCGTCCCTAACAAATTGTGTCCGCTCTATATCTTGAGAACCGTTACGATTTCATACTTTATACTTGACATGTATATTAACCAACACCAGAGGGTGTGTCATAATGTATGTACAACTTCCTAGGTAAAAGGTCAAAAACTTTACAATGATCATTTTCCAAGTTTTTGCTGATCTTCAATTGTAAACGTTTTTTTTTTTAATTTATTCCACAATTTTCCTGAAAGAAATAATTTGCTTCTTTGTGTTATATTTTTTTTTTATTTGTAGTAAAATCCATACACCCTTTTTCAAAATGTTGCAGCCCCTCAGCAAATTTTCATTTTTTTAACATATAATTAGTCTGTCTACTAATCTGTCTATTAATGAACAAGTCTGTTAACATGTCCACATGCAGCCTTTCTACATATCCACCAGTATTTTTGTGTGTCCACTAGTCTGTCTATGGGTCCAACAGTTTGTCAATATGTTCACTGGTCTGTGTATGTGTCCACAATGATTGTCGATCCAGTTCTTCCCCCGGAAAAATTAGCATGGGGAAAAATGGCCATAGGACAACGAAACTAACGCTAATATTTGGATTATAGACTCCTTGCTTGGAACAGTTAAAATGTCTGGGTAGCAAATCAGTTTTGGTTATGTTTTAAACTACTAGTATTGAAAATAAGATAAATGTTAGTAACGACGAAGATAGTTTTCAAAGATCTATTTACATTGATAGTTTCGTTCTGTGGGTATCATAAGCCCAGGAGTCAGCACTTATGTGCTAACATGAAATATCATGTTCATTTTCTGTAAATTTAGTGTTTATAAAATTTTAATGTTTAATTATTCAAATTTTAACCCATTGCCTTAACCGTATTTGGCACAAAATTTAGAAATTTTCGGTTATTACTGCTTCTTTACGTTGTAAAATTTTATTTGGCTTTGCAACTCTTTTGATATGTGTCTTATGTGAACGAAACCCACAGCAAGTCTGACTTACTAACTTATAAGTCTGGTATCTATGTTGATATTTTACAATGTTAAATTGATAACCTTTAAGAATAAACTTAATATCTAAAAGACTTAATACCACATATTCTTAGTTTTAAAGTTAAACAAATCTACCACATATTCTTAGTTTTAAAGTTAAACAAGAAAAAAAATAGGAAAAATCGTCTATTTGTGGATGATATTAAGTGAAGAGTTAAACGAGACAGAAATATCCAAATCAAGAAAAGGACATTTTGTGCTGCTGCTATTTGACATTTTTAGAGAATTCTTAATAATCTTTGTTATTAATCAAAGTAACAACCGGTTTAATATTGTAACATGCCTTCTCACAAAGGATTTTTTTTTATCGAATTATCAATTTTAATAATAGGCAGATAAATTCCCTTGATTTTTAAATTTATAGAGATAACGATGAATAAAAAAAAACTAATTACAAATGTAGCATTTTCAAACCATTAAAATAATTTTACGATTACAATAGTTAAATCATACACGTAAAGAATACTTACCGATTATATTAGTATAAATATGTCGTCAAAAAGTAAATTTACTCTACATCTCATGTAAAATGAATATTTCAATTCCCAAAACCTGCACTAGAACTAAAAAAACCTTTACAATTCAACCTATTTTTCTATAACACAAAAAAAAACCTTTAAAATTTCACCTATGTTTCATTACCTTATTTGAATAAAAACATGTTTAATATATATAATCCCTGAAGTATAATACCTAATGAAAGTGATCCAAGTTGTTAAACATATTTTATCACATTTTTTATAGAAATTACTATGTACTATATTGACTTTTCGAAGAAAGCAGAATAATAAAAAAGTAGATATTTTACACAAATCAATAGACAGTTCGAAGAGGTTTTAGTTAACTTTGTACTTTATTAACTTAGCGGTCTGAGAACTTTTCCTGTATCAATCCCATTTAGATCTTAAAGTTTGTACTTTATTAACTTAGCGGCCTGAGAACTTTTCCTGTATCAATCCCATTTAGATCAAACACATTAGTTACATTTATGTACAACAACGTCATTATTAGATATAGACATACAAACAACTTTGTGGGTTCGTGATCTAATGATTAAGACCGAAGGCTGCATTGCTGAAGGTCCCGATTCTGACTCGGGGCAATGGAAATTTCAGTACAGCAAATGGGTGATTTTCACATTTCATTACACATGTCTGGTACCCCGACCGGAGTTTAGCCTTAATTAGTCAAAGTTTCCCCTGATTCTGACCAGGAGGTAAATCTGCTGAAATATCTTCGGTTTGTATATTCCCGCCTAATAGCTCGGTGGTCCTCTTCGAGTACTCCGGATTCCTCCACCATAATAACAGACTTCCCTATGTCCTAGGACTCCCTTTGTGTTGGGGTGGGCACTGTCCTTGTAAATAATACTGTTGTAAATATGTTAGTAACACATCTCCATTGTTCCCGGTAGGGTGTGTACACGGATTTCACTGTACAATCGCAGCTCTCGGGGGTCACGAGAATAACGGATAAATCTACCAGTATATACATTCATACATATGCATGAGGTGGAGGCTTTCTCACTTCGTGGAACTGATAGATTGAAAATATTGCATAGTGAAAGTGTATTAAGCATTTGGAAAAAAATCTTACAAAGCACTGATTAAAACTTTTAACACTTACATCAAATCCTGTACTTTCCCAGAGCAAAATTTATCTTGTCATTCTAACAAACCGCGTCACTAGGCGCCATAAAATAGTTGTTCAAAAGCTTACCGAGTCCATTATAAAAGTAAGAAGATGTGGAATGATTTCCAATGAGACAACCATCCATCAGATAGAACATTAATACAATAGAATATGCAGACAGCTCTCTCTCAAGCAAAAGACCGTAACTGTACAATATAAGGGCATAAACCACAGGCACACATTCTACTACATCAACAAAGCACGAGCAACAAACCAAAGGGCCTGCAGTAAATATAAAAATAAGAAGATGTGGTATGCCCATAAATTTCTGGAGAGTAACGATGGACTGAATTTTTACAGGATAATTTCAGTCATCAAATTGGTCACCTCAATAATATTTCACTGTATAGCTGGCTGGGAACTTATGATCTAACAGTTTATGTAGGGATTTTTTATCACTTCGGCCTGAATTTGGATTAGGGTTAGGATTAGGGATGTAAGTGTGAGTAAAGCAACTGAATGTGTCAACAATATAGTTAGCCTATGCAGACCGATATCAAATCTTTGAACTATGTCAAACATGAAAATACCCATTATATTGTTATAGGAAGTGATCTGAATGAAGATCTTAGTAACGCCGACAGAGCAAACAAGAGAATCAATAGCTACAGGCATTTTTGCGCCTTTCCCAAGTCAGGATCCTCTGGCCTTAGTTAGTCTTGTATATTTTTAATTTTAGTTCATTTATATGTTTAGTGTGACGTCCATTTTCACTGAACTAGTACACGATTTTATTTAGGGGAAAGCTGAGGACTACCTCCTGCTGCGGGATTTTCTCGCTGCGTTGAAGTCCCATTGGTGGCCTTCTGCTGTTGTCTGCTCTTTGGTCGGGTTGTTGTCTCTTTAACATATTCCCCATTTCCATTCTCAATTTTATTTACTAATAAATATTATTGAAGAGCGTGTACAAGCAAGTACAACCTAAGCTGAAGTCTGGTCCCTACAGATAAAAAAGATGAGATGAGGGGAACTATAATACATTGGTTATAGCTGGCAAACCGACACACCCTAATAACACAATTTACATAAATAGAATAGAAACTAGGATAAATTCCGGAATGAAATAAGAATCGAACAAAGCATGGAGAAAAATACAGAAAAAGATCGTATAATTGAAACAAGAACTAAAGATATTAAATGATTCCGTATGCTAGTAAGGAAGAACCGTACTAGAGGTAATGTCATCATGTACTAACATGTCGAAGATGAATGCTATGTTGGAGAATAACATAGCACGGATGGTTTTAAACACTACTTTCCGAAACTTTCATCCTCAGCCGATACAAATGTCAAAGATGATGCTAAGTACCATCAATATGTTGAATATGAAATTCAGATTATAAATGAAATTGTGAAGAAAATAAATTTCCAACCTGCAATTAGTAAAAAGATACAAGATGCAATTAATTTTATAAATAGAGGAATATCTCCTGATATATATGATATTAACTTTGAGCATATTATACATACAGAGAACAGCCTAAATGAATGTTTGTTGGACACGATCATCATCCTGGATGCGACCAATCAATGATTAAAGCCGAACTTATTTCTGTTAAAACAAGGATGATGAGAACAATGCCACAAACTATAGAGTTATCACGGTACTGCCTCGGTAATGATCAACAACATAACTAAGGCCATATACTAGTATACATAAACATGAAATTAACCCTAATGTTAAAAGTCATACAGAATAAAGTTTAAAGAGGATACACCCAAACCGTCACATCAATTAATTCGACACTGTCAGTAGTAAAACCATACAGAGAGTCGAAAGATATTAACACCGAATTTGAGCTTGTCCTGCTAGATACAAAAACAACATTTGATATCAAAGTTCATAGTCTTCTTATGAAGAGAGTATTTCCTGCTTTTATACAAGACTATTATTGGTCTTTGATAAATGATATGCCCCAACATGCTACAAGTACCGTCTAATGGGACGGACAAACTTCGGAACTTTTTCCCTTGACGCAAAGAGTACGTTATGGAGGGTTCTGGTCTGTATGAATTATACAAAAATCCATTACTCGACCGCTTAAAGAACTCAAACATCAGGGCTAAAATTTACAATGTTCTTAACAATGTAGGCGGCGCCTGCGCAGATGATGTAGAGTTTATCTGATCGTGACATGGATGGGCAAGGTCTATGCAGGTATGGAAGGTTATTGATTATAACCGAAAAAGAGAAGAGCGTATCTATCCACACGCGACCTGTGAAAACAAAAGCGACATATAGACACCCAACTATATATATGTAACCGTCTTGGATGTGAACAGATGGCAAAGGTTGAAAATTCCACCATCCTAGGCGTAATACGAGCTCGGTCACTGAAACAAAATAGTGTCCAAAATGTCGAAGAAAATATTAAAAAAGCGCGGAGCAGCACTTATGCCTTAATTGGGAAAGGATTTTCACGAGGAAAATGGTTTGGACCCTGAAACCCTTACCCATCTATTTAAATCATAAATATTACCAGTATTGCTCTATGTATGAAACTTATTACTCCGAAAGGATCAACTAGAAAAAAAGCTTTGAAGCAGAATTATTGTCATTCCTCCTAATACACTTGATCCAGCAATGTATGTGCTAAGTGGATTATATACAAACAATTAAAACGCCCAACTCACATAAGCAAGTCAATCAATTGTGTGGATTCATCTTCTAATATAATTGTTAAGTGGTCATAACAGGACTACAGAACGATATTGTGTTGTCATCTGTAGATATACAATGAGCTCTACTTAATAAAATAAAATAATATCTCATTTATAAAAACGGGTAACTGTTGTGTCTTTATCCTAAGCCAGGGGGTTCTCCCTGTTAGAAGCAGATAACCGACACCAGTGGGCCTCCTGACGAATTAATTTCAGGACGGAGTCTGTGCAATCAACGCCCACATATAGATGTAATTTAATAGTATAGAGCCTTACACCTCTATACTTCTTTAGTCCACGTCGGGTCCTTTCAGGAACAATAATCTTTCCACGAGACGAACATACCACTATTGGTAATGCGAATGGTTCGAACGCACACCCTTCTTGCAGCGCCAATATGACAATCCATTGATGGTACCGGCGGATTTCGAACTGTCACTCTCGGGATATAAAGGCAGCGCTCTTTTAATAAATTGACCGAAGAAGATCTTTCCTAACTCAACTAGTTAGACTACCTTAATATCTCCAGGTCTACAACATAACAAAAATGTTCCAAGAAAAGAACCCTGTGGCACACCTTTCTTGTTGTCAGCAAACTACTAGTAAGTATTTGGCAAATTTTTAATAATTGTTTTCTATTTGATAAATACGAATTTAAAAGCACCATAAAAAACAGTTTGTCAAGAAATAGTTCATGATGTAAGCAACCAAAATCTAAAGCTCAGTTTGGAGAGGTCCATTAAAACTGCGGTTATGAAATGATAATGATCAAAGGCCTTTCTCCAATCATGTAAAAGTGTGGTCTGACATCCATGACTGCGTCACAAAAAATGGATTGAAAATTTGGACGAAAATATCTGACAGCTGAGTTTATAAAACCTTAAGTTACTGATCTATTAATATTTTTTATTAAATGATGATTTTTTATGAAGTGGGGTGACTTGTGTCTCCTTTATTCCATATAGAATACGCCAGAGTCAACAGATAAAACTAATTTAATCCGTCAGCATAGGCGCCAAACAGTTTTACTATGTTTCGCCGGAATTCTGTCACAGCCAGTAGCATTTTTAATATTTATTTGATTTATAATATTTTTTCCTTTTCTAAATTTGAAGACAAGGTATTACATTTTTGTGTAACATGTTTTGTATCAGTCAATACTATTATTTTGTGGGCCTGAGTTACACTTTTTAGAAAAAAAAGGTTTAA